AGGTGGGAAAAGTTAACTATTCATGTTTCCCATGAGCAAGCAGATGCCAGACTGGTTGCACCCAGGTTAGTGATGTTGACTCCTGATTACCTTATCATCAGCCAATCAGAAGAATGTCCAGGAGCTGATAACACCCCCCACAACCCCCTCCCTAACTCTGTCTTTAAAACCCTTTCCCTGAAAGCCTTTGGGAGTTTGGGTCTTTTAAGCACTAGCTGCCCTGGAAGGCTTGCTTGGCCTTGTAATAAAGGCTCTAAGGTCCTTTTACCACAACCAGGTGTTTGAAGTTAGATGGACTTTACTGCCCTGGGGCAATCAGACCCAAGTTTGGTTCAGTAAAATCTGCAGCAACATGGTTGGAACTAGAGATTATCCCACTAAATGAAATAAGAAAGGAAAAGGCAAATACCATATGATATCACTTACATGTGGAATCTAAAATACCACACAAATGATATCTGGGGAACAAACAGGCTCACATGGAGAACAGACTTGGTTGCTAAGGGGAAGAGGGATGGGGGCATGATGGAGTGGGAGTTTGGAGTTAGCAGATGCAAACTATTATATATAAAATGCACAAACAACAAGGTCCTACTGTGTAGCGCAGAGAACTATATTCAATATCCTCTGATAAACCGTAATGGAAAAGACTATAAAAACGTGTATATAACTGAACCACTTCTCTGTACCGCAGAAATCAACACAATGTTGTAAGTCAACTCTACTTAATTTTTAAAAAACAAAGTTTGACAAGCCTTAAGTATGGTCGACCATCCCTACCTTGACCTTAAGTGTGACAAGGACCTTGAACCAGCTGAGCGTCTGCTCCTGCTGCAGGAGGGGCGCGAGGGTGCCAGGCACTCACGGTCCCCGAGCACCTCCGAGGGAGACGGATGCGAGGCGCCCCGGCTCAGTCTGCAGCCCCACGGCGTCCCTGCTGCTCTTCTCGGGAATCTGGAGACGCCAACTCTCCTCACACCACGCCCTCAGGCGCCGGCGTTCCCCCTGCTGGGCGGGAGCGCGAGTTAAAGCCTCCTGGGCGCCCGGGGCGCTCCGCCCGCCCGCGGCATCTACGCGCAGCGCGCCGCGCGCCCGGGTCCCGCGCTGTCCCCTTGCGGCCATGGGACGCCAGACGCTCCTTCTGCTTTTGCTTCCCGTGCTGGCCGCTCTGGGCGGCCTCGGGGGCTCCGCGACAGGTGAGTGGGGCCCCCGGGGAGGGACGCTGAGGGGCGGGGGCAGAGGAGAGCTTGGGGCGTGCTCGCTAGGTGCGCGCGCGGCGTCTCCCCGGTCCTGCGGTGACCTTTTATCCGGGAGGGCGAGGCTGGACCATCTGGAGGGGCCCCTGTTTCTCAGTCCTTAACTCCTTGACAAGCCCCGCTGGGTGGGTTGGCTCAGCGGACCAATTGGCTGTCTTGTCCTCTCTGGCCCTCAAGCCGCAGGGTAAGGAAGCTCCCTCCGCACCTGAGTGCTTGGCACACCCGCCCTCCTAGGTTCTTTCTTCTCCGAGCGTCCCGGGGACTGGGGTTGGCTTTCTAGCCCGGGTCTCTGATGCGCCCGCCGCCAAGGTTTAACCAGGCAGCAAATTTAGCCTCTTGGAGGCCCGAGACCTTGGGAGGAGATGCTTCTCTCTACCAACAGCCGCGGGGGCGACGGAGCCTGGTCCTAAGGTGTGGTCAGCAAGCAACTTGGAGGGGCACTTGTTAATACCACTTAGGTGCTGGCGGACCGCAAGGCAGAGGAGAGCTGCGCCGGGTCCCAGGGTGATTGAGACACTCTCAGCTCCCGTAGGGTCGGTGGCTGGTGACTTAGCTGGTGCAGGAACTGCCCAGCGTTTGTCAGACCACCTGGCCTGCAGGAGTGCATCTCTCCTGACAGGTGCTCCTGATTGGCCCTCAAGGATGAAGGCAGGCTTGAAATCATTTGTTAAAGTACGCAGGCGCTTTCTTGGTCAAGGTACTGTGAACTGGTTTGCAGGAGATGGCCCTTCATCTCTGAGTTGTTTGTCTTCCAGGAGCGATTGTAACGCTCAGGGTTTCCCCCTAACTTGGTGGAGGGTCTCTGTTGTGGCAGGAAGCCCCTACCTGTGTGTGGTCTGTCTGCCCCACTCCTGAAATGGGATTTAAAGTTACTTGCATTTTACACTAAGCAGTGTTTCCCGAAGCCTTCTGGTGTGAAGACATCTTCATGACGTCTGTTGTAGAACAGTGTGTGATCTGCTCTGTATATTGTACACAATACACTTTGTATATTGACAGACTATGAGAATGCTACTGTAAATTTAATATGTAATTAGATTAGTAAAGTTTAAATTTATTCACAGCAAGCCTGTACCTAAATTTGAAAAGTCATTTTTGAGACTCACCTACAGATGGTGTGTAGAATCCATGTGCATACTGGGTCATCAGACTGAGAATCCCCAGGGCAGAATAGTGTTCTAGGTGGGACTTGCCTAACAGTGCAAGTCTCTGAGGGTTGACTGCAATCCTAATTGGGATCCTTCTGGAAGAATCTGCTAGAAGAAGTGGCAAAAAAGCCCAGGAGCATTTATTTGCTGGGTTTATGCCAAGTGATTTTGTTCTCATTTAATCCTTGAGTTTTCCTCTTAGAACTACTTATTCACTATCCTCACTTTATAGACAAGAAAAACTGAGGCAGCAAGTCTCCCAGGATGATGTTGTTAGTATTCTAACCAAAACTCCGAGTGAGTAGCCTGACAACTGAGCCTGGGATACATCTTAGGGGTTGCTGACCTTATCTGCTCTCAGATGGATGGTTTTGGTCCAGTTAAATGGGATCGCTTGGATAGTATGTGAGTAGCTGGCAAAGTTGTGAGCTATTCAGTAATAACCAGTACCTTCTGAGTCTTTCAGTTATAATGCAATTTATAAGCCAGCATTTAAAAATCAAACATTGAGTAAGTATGCAAAAAGCACTACCTTAGATGGATATAAGTAAGGCTGAGGTCTGGTCCTTACCGAAGAAGGTGAAGTCTATGCAGTGGGCTTCCACTGTCAACTCCCATCACATGGCTTTGCACACAACTTTCTATCCATGTGTACACATTGTCCCTGGGGTAGGACTGCTGGGTCTTCACTGTGTCTTGCAGAAACTTCTACTGAGTGGGTCATGTAGTTTATATTTTCTTGGAACCGGGGATTGGCTTTTTCTCTTTGAAAGTTAGGACAAAAAAGTAAACTAAATACGGTCAGGCCTTTCCAGTGTTTTCCTCTGAGCACTGAATCCATAACAGAATTATATTTGACCATTAATCATTCAGAGTTGATAAATTCAAGTTCATGATGTGAATAAAACCAACAATATAAATCAGTGTCCTGAAAATAACTGAAAACTTAAGTGTATGTAACCAGGCTGCTAGAGGCTTTCTTATAAAGATGCCATGTAGGACCCCCAAACCCTAACTTCCCTTGAAGTTATATCTGCACATGTCTAAAAGCAAAGTATGGTCAAGTGCTTTGAACCCAAACCTCTAAACTTGCAACTCTTCATATTCTGAGTTTTTAAGAGCAAATCAGACCTGGAGGAAGTAGTCATATCTTGTCAAAGCACAAGTGCAAGTCTCAGCCATTCTAACAGGACAACGAGGCGACGAATGACAGCCCTCCAGCAGCAACTCCACAGCATCAGAAAGAATGGTCCCCGAGGCTCATCACTGGTGAAATCGCATGGGTTTTTAGGGTACTGAACTCGCTAGTGTTCTCGGTAGTGGTCGAAGGAAGGTCTTCCAAAGAGAACACTGACTGCAGCTTATCACGAAAAGGTCTCCTGGACCCCAGGGAGCCGGGAACCCTGATGGCTTTGCTTCTTGGTCATCCAATGCAGATGAAATGCAGTGTCATGCGACGAGGCAAGCTGCATGTGGTGGGAGGTGCATTCCTGTGGCCTGGCTCTGCAACGGAGAGCGGGAGTGCCCGGATGGGGCGGACGAGCAGTGCGGTAAGCAGACTCCCAGCTGTGTTGTGTATCATGCGCTCACCCACACCTGGTCCATAGTGCTGCATGCCTTGTTGACAGTTCTGGTTTTCACCCTCTTGGGAAGTATTCTAAAACCTTGGGAACTCTGAGTTGTTGCAGGCTTTTGGTGGGGAAGGCCAGGGATGTGTCTTCAAGTGTTGGCAACCCTGCTATGCAAACATGTGGAGGGAGATTTGGGATGGAAAAATCCAGCAAGAGTCTGGCTCCTCATCTTCAATTCAGACCTAAACATCTGAGACAGTGTTACTCAAACTGGAATAATACAGGGATTCCTTGATAGAAAACCCCTGCAGACCAGTTTTGTATACAATAAACTACTTCAACTTTTATATGCTTAGAGCTTTTATGTGACTGAAAAACAGTTTTCAAGTTGGGGACCAAAACTATAAAACCAACAGAAGTCAGTTAGCCATTTGGTAAATGTCCTCCTGAAATAAATTTCAAGTCTGTCTCTGCTGAGAGAACTTAAAACCCCAGAAGGGAGGCTGGAGCGCTTGTGTGAGGAGAGCCCCTCGCTCGGTGCCTGGCACCTGGGGGTGCAGTGACTACGGGAGGGGACGTTCCTCATTAAAAGAGGAAACCCCCCACAGCACTGGGTGAGTGCTCCCCTCACGCACATTCCTGGGGTGGTCACTTACTGTGATTTAACATGAAACCTTGGATATCAAAATGTGTACTCTTACAGGTTAGGGTAAAATTTCAGACTTTCAGAAATGCCTTGGGCTCGAGCCCCCAGACACTTCAGCCCAGCTCCTCAAGTTGACTTGCTTCGGCCTGTAGTCAGACTTTGGTGGAAACACTTGAAGGTCTAATTAAGCCCCCAACCCCAGTTCCCAGGTTGCCTGGGTCTTAATAGAGTCTCAAATGTCAAAAGAAATCAGAGTAGTAAACCTAGAAAACTGAACTAATTTAAGGGCAACTAGCCACATGTGAGGATTTAAATTTATTTAAATGAATACAAATAAAGTTCAATTTCTGGATTGTACTGGCCACATTTCAAGAGCGCAATGGCCGCGTGTGACTGGTGACTGCCATTTGGGACAGCAGAGATGTAAAATGCTTCCATTGTCACAGAAGGTTTTAGTGGACACTGGTGTTCTAGAAGAATAATGGGGAGGAGATGACAGTTTTTATTTTTTAAACTTTTTATTTTGTACTGGGGTATAGTCGATTCACAATGTTGTGATAGCTTCAAGTGAACAACAAAGGGACTCAGCCATATATGTATAGGTATATGTGTATCTATATATATGAGGCGATGTCTATTGATCTGCTGACTGATTGCCCCTAAGGCAGGGCTACTGAGTGATGTCGTCAAAAGTAACATGAAAAGGATGGGCCAGTTTAGGGTTCACTCCAGGGGCAAATCAGCAATGAATTATTCCTTTGCTGATGAAAATACCTGATAGGAAATCCAAATTTAAAAGCTGCTAGTGCCCTGACGAGCACTTCTTCCTTTGTTCCTCTCCCCGGGCACCGCGCTGACCCACAGAGGAGGTGTGTCGTGGACACCCGCAGGCTTGGCAGTGTGATGACGGAAGATGTATTTCCTCCCACTGGCTTTGTGACGGTGTTGGCGACTGCTTAGATGGCTCTGATGAGGCTAACTGCGGTGTGTACAGCCTATCTTCTTATCTTCGGGTGCATTCTGTTTATTAGCTGCATTGATGAGCAGCAACTGTCTTAAGTGAAGTCCATCACAAAGTAGCCTTCTGCCTATATGCCAAACCCAGACTTTACATTGTTTTCCATATTGCAGGTGACTGTTTTCACTTACTTCTCCATTTTTCAAAACTACCTAAAATTAAGAAGATTACTAGCTTGGGACTTCCTGGCAGTCCAGTGGTTAAGACTTCACCTTCCAATGCAGGGGCTGCGGGTTCAATCCTGGTTGGGCAACTAAAATCCCACATGCCTGACAGCCAAAAAATCAAAACATAAGACAGAAACAATATTGTAACAGATTCAATAAAGACTTTAAAAATGGACCACCTTAAAAAAAAAAGTCTTTAAAAAACAGATGATTAGCTTTATTGACTTAAAACCTATTTGGGGGTGAAACTTCAGAACACAAAATTATGGCCACATCTCTGACAGCTCCCATCCCCTCCCATTCTTGGTTTTCTATGGACTGAATTCATGAGCAAATCGTAAATCCCTAAATAACAAGGCTGTGACAGGGGGTTCTACCTCACCCAGCCAACTCCTGCCTTTTAGAGAGAAGGACGGCATGTCCATATCCCAAAACCCAGTGTCCAGGAGATCCGCAGTGCCAAGATGCCTGGGACCCCTGCGATCTCAGTGAGGACTGTGGAAGGCGGTTCGGGGATGCGCTCTGCCCCCAGCATCGCTGTCTGAGTGGCCAGTGGCAGTGCAGGAACGGGCTGTGTATCCCGGACAGCTGGAGGTGTGACGGCGAGGACCACTGCGGGGACTCCTCAGACGAGCAGGGCTGTGGTGAGTCTCGGCCCGCCCCACCTTTCGTTAAAGGGGAGGTTGGACCATGTGGGCTCCTTTCTGCAAGCGGTGCTTTAATCCCTATGACTGAGACTCCCATCTTATATCTAAACATGGGGTGTTTCCTAGCAATAACCAAGCTTTCCTTATCCATGGAAACATAAAGTAGTGCTTAAATAGCAACTGCACTGGACACTCGCGGCACAGCCTAGACTGTTTCCGCTGATCAAGTCTGGCCAACTTGCAGAACACCTGAGCGCCAGCATCCGGAGGCAGTCTCCTAACAGATGCCTACATCCTTGTGTGGTGAATATGGAAAGAGAACATTCGTCACTAAAAAATAGAAAGCCTCCCCAAAACATGGTGACTGCTACATTCCTTTTTTTTTTTTTTGTACCCTCAATACACAGTGTAGCAGAACCTCCAATTTTTTTAATGAACTTCAGTACCTTTCACTCTTCTTCCCTAGAGTTAAATCTGTAACAGTAAATGTGTTCAGATTCTAACATTTTTATAGTAATTTATAACCTGGTTTCTTAAGAGAGTATTTTTTTTAGGGCTAATGTTATCTGACTTTAATATAATTTCAATTAGAACTATTTAATGCTAGCTCAGTTCAATTTTAATACAATTTCAATCCAGTGCCCTGATGTCTTAACATTGTTGCTATCAAGTCTTAAGTCCCAGTTCCTGAAAACTCTGCTTAAAAAGATAACTTCCTTTCCAGCCTAGACTTGCCTTGGGTTATAGAAATAGTGCCACCTCCCTTCCCGGCTGTATGACTTGTCTATTTTTACTACCACTCCAAATATTAATGAAAAGGATGCTTAACTTCCTACACAGCTTCCTGTCCAGAAGGCATGGTTGGATGTGATGAGGGGAAATGCGTTCTAGAATCCCTGATGTGTGATGGGCAAGTGGACTGCACAGATGGTACTGATGAACCTGTCATGTGTGGTGAGAAGCCAATCGCTCTGCTTAACATGGGAGAGAGGAGAGTAAGATGAAATAAGCCAGTGCCTCAGTTATCATGGGGTCTACTCTCTGAGATGACTCTTGGGCTCAAACTCCTTTAGAAGCAGTTATCCTTCAATGATGGATCCCTTACAAGTCCCAGCCCTTGGCTTTGGTCTCCTGAACTCGAGGAAATATTACCTGAACTGTAAAAACTGAGGGCCATTCTTATGTTGTAGCTTTATGGAACTAGATTAGCTAGATAGCCCCCAAACTACAGGGCTCCTAAAATTCTGGAATAAGAAACATGAACTTTGCCACAAAGAAGCAAATCATTTGTTCAAGACAAAAGGGCAAATTCTCTAAAGATTTAGCCAAAGAACTGAGGAATGATGAACCTATTTGCAGGGCAGCAATGGAGACACATCGGAGAAGGCAATGGCACCCCACTCCAGTCCTCTTGCCTGGAAAATCCCATGGACGGAGGAGCCTGGTGGGCTGCAGCCCATGGGGTTGCTAGGAGTTGGACACGACTGAGCGACTTCACTTTCACTTTTCACTGTCATGCATTGGAGAAGGAAATGGCAGCCCACTCCAGTGTTCTTGCCTGGAGAATCCCAGGGACGGGGGAGCCTGGTGGGCTGCCGTCTATGGGGTCACACAGAGTCGGACACGACTGAAGCGACTTAGCAGCAGCAGCAGCAATGGAGACACAGACACAGAGAACAGACTTACGTACACAGTTGGAGGTAGAGGGGAGGAAAAGGTGGGATGTATGGAGAGTAACATTCCCACATGTAAAATAGACAGCCAGTGGGAGTTTGCTCTATGACTCAGGAAACTCAAACTGGGGCTCTATCAACCTGGAGGGGTGGGAGGGAGGTTCAAGAGGAAGGGGACATAGGTATACCTATGGCTGATTCATGTTGATTGGCAGAAGTCAACACAATACTGTAAAGCAATTATCCTTCAATTAAAAATAATTTAATTAAAAAAAAGAACTGAAAGGTTCCAGTTGAGGCAGAGGGAGACGGGCATCTGTCCCCAGTCATTTTGTCATCTGTCTCTCATATCCCCCCAAATCGATCTTAGACTCTATGGTGAAAGCTCTTTTAGTACTGTTAAAGGCCGTGAAAGAAGCTTTGCATTTAAGAGATACTAAAAGCATAAACAGTAGGACCCAAATATACAGGCTTCTGTTCCTGTATAGATAATTCATTGGGATTAATAAATTATTATATGACTTCCTGAACTAATGGTCCCAGCTGTCTACAGATTCTAGAAAAAATAGAAGAGAGGTCGCTGGTCCCTTCATGAGTGAACCGCACACTAACACTCGGAACAGTCCAGACGGTCCACCTTTCCCCGTCTCTGTGATTCCTAACTTTCTCTCTTCCTCTGGTCTCCCCACAAAGCCTCCACTTTCCTAGCTCATCTTCCTAGGGAAGGGGGCGGCTGAAAGGTTATCTTTAGCCAGTCATCTCCTCCTCACACAGGTATGGAAGGTTGTGACACAGCATGGTTTATAAAGCATTTGATCTTGGCCATGTTCATCTGTACTGACCTCTATGCTGTCTCTACCAGGGAGAAACTGCTCTCTGGCCAACGGGGGCTGCGAGGGGCAGTGTGGGGACACACCCTGGGGTGTCCGGTGTTCATGTGCAGCCGGATGGCGCTTACAGCCCGATGGCCAGAGCTGTGGAGGTCAGAATTTATTTGGTTCATCTTTACAAGTTCTTATTAGACTAACTTAACGTTTACCATTTTCATCATTTTCAATGTGCATTTTGATGTACATTCACAGTGTTGTGCAATCATCACACTATTTCCAGAGCTTTTTCATCATCCCAGACAGAAACCCTGTACCCATTAAGCAATAACTCTGTCCCCGCTTCCCTGGTAAACTTGATTGATTTTCTACCTATGAATTTATCTGTTCTAGTACTATGTATTGGGCTTCCCTGGTGGCTCAGATGGTAAAGCGTCTGCCTGCAATGTGGGAGACCTGGGTTCAATCCCTGGGTCAGGAAGATCCCCTGGAGAAGGGAATGGCAACCCACTCCAGTACTCTTGCCTAGAAAATCCCATGGACAGAGGAGCCTTGTACGCTGCAGTCCACGGGGTTGCAAAGAGTCGGATACGACTGAGCAACTTCACTTTCACTTTCTTTCAGTACTATGTATAAGTGGGATCATACAGTGTTTGTTATTGTTTTCTGGCTAACTTCACTTAGCTTGTCTTTAAGGTGCATTCATGTTGAAAAGATATTTCCCTCCTTTTTTAAGGCCAAATAATATTCCATTGTATGCATACAGTTTGTTCTTTGTATATGCAGGCTCCACATCTGCAGATTCAACCAACTGCAGGTTGAAGATACTGGGGTGGGAGTGGTGTGGGGGGTGGGATTCTAGAAAGTTCCAAAAAGCAAAACTTGAATTTGCTGTCTGTTAGCAACTATTTACATTGTATTAGGGATTATGAGTATTCTAGAGATGACTTAAAGTATATGAGAGCATGTGCATAGGTTATATGCTGATACCAAACTATTTTATACAAGAGACATGGATTTTGGTATTCTCTCGGGGTCCTGGAACCAATCCCCTGTGGATACCAAGAGATGACCGTGTGTCACATTTTGTTTATCCATGCATATGTTGATGCACAGTTGTGTCATTTCCACCCTTTGGCTACTGTGGACAATGCTGTTGTAAACACTGGTGTGCAAGCGTTCATTGAGTCCCTGCTTTCAATACTCTTGGGTATACAACACTAGGGGAACTGCTATGTCACATGGTAAATTCTGTGTTTAACTTTTTGAGAAACCATCAAACTTTTCCACAGAGGCTGCGCCATTTGACATTCCCACTAGCAATGCACATGGGTTCTGATTTCTGCACATCCTTGCAACTCATTCTAAATTGGGCTCTGATTGGCTTGAGATGGGTCATGTCCCTGGGAATTCTGCTAGAGTAACAGGGATGCACATCTAGGGTCCCTGTATTGATGGTTCTGCTGCAAGGCACTCACGTACATGGGAATCCTATGGACATGGGGATTTTCTATCCCAGGACCCACACAGTCATCTCCACTTAATGCATGCTCCATGAGCATCTGAAAAGTGGCCCCAAAGAACAAAAATACTTGAGATCGTTCCTCAGTCTTCACTAATTTCCAACTCTCTGTCATCAGATGTGGATGAGTGTTCAATGGCATACAGCCCCTGTGGCCAGCTATGTCATAACACGCGCGGCTCTTACTCCTGTGGGTGTATTCGAGGTTACCAGCTCCACAATGGCACTGACTGTCATGTTACAGGTGAGTTTCAGCACCGGAAGCAAAGCAGAGCCCCTGCCCTAGCCTTAGCAGCATTTAGGTAAGAGTGATATAGACAATTCACTTCAGGGTCTGCTATTAGAGATGATGCCACTCTTTCCATAAAGAACTGCTATTATAATGTTAGTTGATCAGTTTTGAGTGTCAGTTGCTATTATGTGTCTTTAAAATGATTGGGCTTTCCAGGTGGCACTAATGGTAAAGAGGAGGAGACAAGAGACATGGGACATGGGTTCCATCTCTGGGTTGGAAAACCCCCCTGGAGGAGGGCATGGCAACCCACTCCAGTATTCTTGCCTGGAGAATCCCATGGACAGAGGAGCCTGGTGGGCTACATTCCCCTGGGTCACAAAGAGTCAGACATGACTGAAGTGACTTAGCACACATGCTTGTCTTTAAAATGATTTAGTTTTTTTGTAGGATCTACAGCTCGGTGCTGTAGATGATCTTGTAGGTGCAATTGATGATCTTACTTTGTCCTGTACCACTTCCATGATGGGACACTTGATTATATTTGGCTGTTGTCTATAAGGCCTGGAGAGGACCTCTGTCTAGGGGTGAGCGGCTGAATCTGAAATCAGGCAGAAAAGTTCCAAAGATTCATTTCAGTGTGCTAGAGTTCAGAGGAGGAATTGAGGCTTCAGGTGGTGAACCAGGTCTCCTCTAGATCCACCTTAGTCCAGACTTCAGAGATAAGTAGGTTTTGGCGTGTGACACTAGCCAATGTCTTTAGTTAAGAAGAATGGTGTGAAAGAAAGTTTAATAGTCACGAGTCACCTTCTACTTCTATTGCAGATGATGCTGTTAAAATTCTTATTGCAGCAGATAGAGAACTTGGTATCCTGGATCGAGGAACAGGCATCTATGAGACACTGGTACCTGTAAAATCAAGGCCTACTTCTGTTGCATATGATCTAGAGAGAAGCATGTACTTCTGGGTGGATGAAGTCTTAAATGTGTTTGTTCTTGGGAAGCCAAACCCTGCTCCTCTCTATCCAGGTATATTCCTTGATATTAAGAGCCCTAGCTTCTTTAAGCTACTTAAACATTGTGTGAGAAATATATGTTCATCTGGACATCTTCTGTGACTCACTTGTCATGAATCATGAGAGTACATAAAGTCTTTATTTAAGTCTATGTAGCTGGATTCTGTAGGAGCTTTGTAGAGCATAACCTGAGATGAGATTGTTAAGCAGTGTGGAAGGTATAGAGATGTGGGCTCAGGCCAAGGTTAGTCTCAGCTCCATCACTTGGTGTATGATCTGAGCAGGTTGTTAAGTCCTTTGAACCACCATGTAAAAGATGAAGATAACAGCACTTGTCTCGTTGGGTAAGTGTGGGGATTAAGGGGAAGAAGTGCTTAGCAGAGTCCTGGATGCACAGAAACCCTCTGCTGGCGATTAAGAGGTAGCATTCATCACAGCATTCCCAGAAAAAATATCAAAACTTTGATAGTGAACGCTGTTCCAAACCGAGGTCACATTCTCCTGGATGTCTTAGTTATACTTCTCCTGAGGCCTTTGTCTTTCCTTACTGCCCACTGTACACTGGGGATAACTCACATAGCAGTAGCTCTGATTCATTCCCTGTGTCCTGTTGGCCTCATTATATGGCTTGGGATCAGAAGGTGTGGAAAAAATTTGTCGGAGTCTCTTTTTTTAAGGTGAGACGGTGTAGGAGAACACAGAAACATAACACTGTCTCTTGTAATCCCCAGAACTTAAAACCATCAACAGTATCTCTTTGGACTGGTTCACGGGGCAGTTATATTGGGCTAGCAGCTTTGCCAGGGTCATCTGTGCTGGTTTAAGTGATGGCAGAGGCTACGTCAGAATCTTGGAAAAGGATCTTGTGCCAGAGCAACTCATCGTGTTTCCTGCAAAGAAGTAAGTCGCGCTTTCTTCGGAATATATCCCAAATCATTGGTTGTCTTAGGTATTTAAATTGACAAGAGAGCAGGTCAACCTTTTTGACCTAGGTCTCATTTGCTCCAAAAAATTCTTAATTTTGAAGTCTAAACTGAATACCATAGAGCCAAACTTTTCAAAGTCTACTGAGTCTGAGAGCAGAAATCTCCAGCATTCTGACCAGTGGAATGATGAGAGGTCTGTGCTAGCCACCAGGGCAGCCTGGCTGGTCAGAATCGTGTACATGCCCTGGAGCGGATCCTCTAACCCTTGTGTCTCTGCTGTTCTCAGGTACTTGTATTGGGTAAATCGAGGTGGGAAAGGCCTGAGGACTATCGAGATGGCAGGGATGGATGGCTCTGATAGGAAGGTGCTGGCGGTGGTCAGCATGGAGGAGCCCACAGGACTGACGCTGGACCACGTGGCTAGCAGACTTTACTGGATCAGTGGATATAAAGAGGTACCATGGATGGGTCAGGAGGAAAAGGTAAACCTGTTTAGTAGGGGTCAAGGGTTCTTTTGAGGACAGAGCTCTCTTATGTGTTGCATTAACTCGGTGAAGTACCTTCTGGCCATGAAAACTGAGAAAAGCATAGCATCTTCAGACGGAACTGGACTGTATCAGCACAGGTTGGGAGACTGTGGGACTTTCTTAAACTCTCTACAGTCAAACCCAGCATTGGAATTTCCTGGTTGTCTAGGTCCTGTTCTGTATGGTACTGGGGATATAAAATGTTTTAAGGAGGCAACAAACAAACAAACATGCAGTTACTTAAGTACCTCAGTGTCTTCTGCCCACATTTCTAGGTTTTCATATTATAGGTCATGTTATCTCATTTTTGAAACCACCAAACTAAAAGACCAGTTGGACATTGGGGCTGAAAGCACAGGCTTGGGAGTCATATATTTAAGCCTATTTCTTCCAGCTCTGATTTCTGGTTACTTAGGGTGCCTCTTTGAGCTCTTCTTGCCCTCTCCGGAAAGAGAGAGAATGCCTGCCTTGGGAGGTAGTTGGGGAATGTAGTAGAAGGATTTGGTACATGTCTGATGTAGACACTATGTTATAGTAGCTACTTGCACAAGATTTATGACCCTAACTGATATAAGAAGCAGCTTAATCCTCTGCCTTTGGCATTAGCCTCTGCGGATCCCAAGATCACTTTATCTCTATCAAATTGATATCGAAACATGTTTAATCGGTGTCCAAGAAACTGAGGTGCACTAAGGTGGTCACCCCTGTTGATGCCACGCTCTTAAGAGACCCTGTCACCCTTTCAGTCCATAGAGACGGTGAACGTGGACGGCTCTGGGAGGCACACCTTTCCCAAGGTCTTCCGGGAAGATGATGATCCAGTGGGACTGGCCATATTTGAGAACTCTTTCTTCTGGGCAAATAAACTACAGCTGTTTCACACTTCACCCCACACCACAAAGGAGAGAGTGGTGCTGCTAAACGCTTCCATATCTGCCTTCTTGGTACTCCACCAATCCCAACAGCCTAAAAGTAAGTCTCATCACTTGCTTTGAAAACACTTATGAATCAGAACTCACACTAAATGGAACCCCCCCCAAATTACTACCTCCATCTGTTGTTGGAACTTGCTATTTTGGGGCCGGGGAAATGTTCTGGGTATCGTTCCAGACGTAACCCAGGACTTTTGAGTAGGATGAACAGAATGAAACTATCTGCTGGAAAACTTGTTCCAGGCACATACCTGGCTTTTATCTAACATAGCAACCAGAGTTTTTTTTTTTTTTTTTTTTTTTAGCAACCAGAGTTTTAATACACAAAACATCTGAGTTTTAATACACAAAACGGGGTTGCGCTGTTCACAAAAGGACTAGAGTAGCTTTCTCACTGATACGTCAATTGATAACAGAAAATGGAACCAAGCTTGGCATCCTGCTTATAGGGGGAAGTCACATGTTTGTTGACTAGGAGTTAAAAGCTTGTTAATCTGAAATTGTCAGCTTCAACTCAGATTATACTTCTTCATGGTCCAAGAAACTAATCAAAGTGGAGAACTGCAACCACTATTTACTTCCTATCAGCAAGCTAGACAGTTATTTTGCCTTAACTTGGAGGGGGAAGATACTGTTAGTTGAAGGTTTCTTAGCCTGAGCTTACTGTACAGAGGTCATTGTCACCCTCTGAAAGACAAGGGACCCCAGGAGTTTAAGGTCAGCATGCCTAACTTAGAGGGTGACAAATATATTGGGATTCCTTTTAAAGCAAAAATGCCTTAACTCCTTTGAGTCTTAAGTTTTGAATTGGTTTGGATAAATCCATGTTTTTACTTTAAAACAGGTAAATACCCAGCATATGTTCCAGGTTCTTGCAGCCACTTGTGTCTTCTCTCCCCCGTCCATCCCAAGGGCTATAAGTGTGTTTGTCCAGAGGGGATGTTTCTTTTACCTTCCGGCACGTGTAGTGGTAAGGATGCTGGGTGAAGTGGGTTTGGCTCAAGAAGCCACATTCTGTGGTAGGTCTGGAAATAATATCACTTCTATTTTTGAATTAATCACTTTTGTCCTGAAAGCACAAGTTTTGTTATCTAAAGACCTTGTTTAGGTTTTTTATTGTGTTAAAATAGATGTAACAAATGGTACCACTTTATTTTTAAGTGTAGTATTCAGTGGCATTAAGTATATTCATATTTTGGGGCAACCATCAGCACCACCCTTGGTCTCCAGAACTTTTTCATCTCCCCAAACTGAAATTCTATTCCTGTTAAACAATAACTCCTCATTCCCCTCTCCCCCTACCCCTGGCGATCACCATTCTACTTCCTGTCTCTGTGAATCTGACTACTCCAGGTACCACATCTAAGTAAAATGGTACAGTATTTGCATTTTATGACTGGCTTTTTTTGACTTAACATCATATCTTCAAAGTTCATCCATGTTATAACACGTGCCAGAATTTCCTTTTTAAGGTGGGATAATATTCCATTATATGTAGATACTACATTTTGTTTATCCATTCATCTATCAATGGATATTTGGGTTCAGTAACTTTTAAAACAAGAAAAAATAGCTTATACTACTCAGTTTTACATGAAAGACTAATGACTAAGTTGGTATAAGAAAGAAACCCTCTACAGTCTTATGACTATAGTACGTACTGACTCATGCTTGTAAGCAGAGTGTCTACGTTAACATTGTTAACATAATTCCTCATGTCACTGTTCCATCTTTGAAACTGGAAGGGCTACATAATTGGTTGAACATCACTGCCCAACTCCTTGAATTTTTCCTATAGAACAGTGAGGTTGTAAGAAGAATAAATGATATAATTACGTTGCTGCTCTAACTGCCTTTGTAGAAGGCAATTCACAATAGGTAGCCATGGAGCATGATTATGGTGTAAAAAGCTGTTGCGCCAAACACAAGTCTTTAGCTTAAAATGTTTCTGAACCTTATATACACAGTTAAGCACCCAGGTAACTTTTCTTTAGATAGGCAGCCTAGCTTAAAATTCTTTGTGTTGAGATGTGTGTGCTACAGGCAAGGATTTGATGACCTTACTGAATCAAACAGTAATGCTTAGGCCCTAATCCTCAGGATTCTATGTTAATCTTTTTGCAGAAATTTAAAGGACTTGGTGCCTTGGGGAAGCTGAGCAGTGCTTTCATTTGCCCAAATGACTTCCTTCTCTAAGGAAGCCAAGGCATTCATGTTGTGTATATGTGCTTCAGAAGCAAACTTTATAAGATCCTAGAATTCTTGGGGAAACTCAACTTGAGAGAGCAATGTTGTTTCAAAGGGGAACATGGGGGTCCCTGACAAATGTTCAAACAGTACATCTCTCTTTTCCTTCGGTAGAGTTAAAACTAGTGTTTTCCTCTGGCAAACGTCTCTACTTGTTGAAAGTTGGTTTTATGGGAACTGCTATAGAGAGAAGCCTAGTTCAAGAGCATCCAAGGAACATCTACTTGCTGGATATTGACTGGAAAAGAAACCTCATCTACTGGACAGATACCCAGGGTCATCTGTTTCGCTCAACTGGCTACCTGGGGGACAAGCAAGCGATTTGGACAGAACATACAGGTAGCTTGGGTTGGTTATTTTGAATTTTTTCCTTTATTCTCTGGCTCTAGATTTAAGTAGGCTCCCAAACATCTCCAAAACCCTACCTGTCTCTGATCTGAATCAAGCTTAATACCAAAGAGTAGTTCTTAACTAATTTAAATATTAAGTGTCTGTGATTTACCCTTGTTCTTATGAAGGGTGTGTAGACTCTTAAAAGGCTACCGTGATTTGGGAAATACTGAGGTCAGTGATAAAGGTTTTAAAATTCTACTTTTCTGGCCTTACATCTGGATAGGATGGAAACAGACCTTAAATACTTCAACTTTGCATTGCAGATTTTTCTTACACTAATTTAGAAGCAATTTGCAATGCAGATTTCAGAGAGAACTAGCAAGATATTTTTTTAATTTGATAATATATACTTTCTCTCCCCTCCCACACTCCTCCATGGCATACCCCACCCTTAGCTCCCTGTACTCAGCCTAAATGAAAATATCTGCTTTATAAAAGAAAACTGAGAGGTGAGTTCCAGGGTGAGTAATCTGATTTCTGAATGCCTGTACTGTGGGTATTCTAAGTGCCAAGGAACTGCTTTACTATATGAAGTGCTGTATTGGAATCCATGTTCCCGAGACACCCTTCAGATCAGTGGCTGATGTCTTAATCCTTATGGAACTGGAATGGCGTCAGACAATTTTTTTTTCTTTGTTTAGGACACCCAGTTTTTGTTGCAGAATTGCTTGGTGGGGGGGTGGGGAAGAAGCACATGTCTGGTGTCTCAAGTATTGAGTTATAGTAAAGGGCTTCCCAGGTGGCACAGTGGTAAAGAATGCACCTGCCAATGCTGGAGGCACAAGAGACATGAGTGCCATCCCTGGGTTGTAAAGATCTCCTGGGAAGATCCCCCAGGTGGCAAGCCACTCCCGTATTCTTGCCTTGGAAATCCCATGGACAGAGGAGCCTGGCAGGCCACAGGCTGTGGGGTCACAAAGAGTCAGACATGACTGAGCGGCTGCGTGCTTATATACACAGAGGAGACACAGAGTGTTTTTCCTACACAGTTAACTGGAAAGCTTGGCAAAGCCAGGCAGGCCTTTTCTGGGTAGTAATCAGCTTGACCTCTGCTCTCAAGGCCAGTTTGCAGGATCTCAGGGCCTCCTTACAACTCTTGAGTCTGCAGCGTTCACCTTATTTTTGTATCAGCATGTACACGTCTCTCTTGTCTCCTGCCTCGGCAGTTGCATTCTTTACCACTGTGCCACCTGAGAAGCCCTTTACTCCACCTCAGTACTTGTGACACCAGTATGTGTCCCCCCCCCCCACACCAAGCAATTCTGTAACATAAACTGGGTGTCCTAAACAAAGAAAAAAATAAACATTGCCTGAAGCAATTCCAGTTCTATAAGGATCAAGACATCCGCCACTGATCTGAAGAGTGTCTCAGGAACATGGATTCCAACTCAATGGACATGAGTTTGAGTAAACTCTGGGAGTTGGCGATGGACAGGGGTGCCTGGTGTGCTAGAGGCTATGGGGTCGCAAACAGCCGGACATGCCTGAGCGACTGAATTGAACTGAACTGTACTGAAATCTGTGTTGTTTTCTCTTGGTGTGTTAATCTTGTCCTCAGACTGAAACTTGAGGCGAGAAAAAACAAATGAAGTTCTGAATCAAAAATGGGAGGGCTTCAAAATTCCACTTTAGGAAAGAATGCACGTTTTTAAGAACTGGTGTAGAGTCACTCTGAGGGCGTTCTGTGATGCTCGCATGTGGGATTTTTGTGGTTACATCCGACTCCAGAGGAAAGCACGTATTTTCTGCAGAGGGCAGAGCCCAGTGAGGTCCAGAGGAACGGAACCCCATGGGGCCAGTGTGCTCTTAGGACGTTGCCAGTCTTCCACCTAGCTATCCAACTTACAAAATGCAGTGAGTGTCTACCTTGCCTAGGTGTTGTCAAGGATCAGGGGAGCTCATACTGACAGACAGGAAACCAGAGCAGGCATGATGGGACCCTTGTGCAAACCAGGTGTGGAGGTTTCTAGGAAATGATCTTTGCATCCTGCAACTGTCTGACTTCATCCCTGGCCCAGAGTTTAAGACAGAATGAGAACACATTTGAATGTCCTTCCTAACGGGAGTGACTTGTCCTCCTTACAGTCTGCTCAGCAAATGTGGACATTCCAACTGGGAACTTGTACTGGCTGCCCTGTGACCGAAGTGCTATTCAGAGGACCAGACTTGCTGGCCCAGACACCCACACCCTGTACAAAACGGGCAGCGTTATAATGCATCTCCTTCTGGACTGGCCAAGGAGGCTGCTTTACTGGGTGGAAAGTGGGGAACCCTTGCAAAGTATGACCCTTGATGGCAAAAGCATACAGACAGTCTGGAGAGGCACTTGGACGGCAGATACCCACGTAACCTTAGATCTCGGCTCTTCCAGCATCCTCTGGACCACCAAAGGGTTAGGTAAGCGCTGCATAACCAGTGAGGTTGGAAGAGGCTTGAGGGGCTGAATGAGAGTCTTCTTTTTAGTAGTAATGACCCCATTTTTAGAACTCATTAGATATAGCATCAAACTCTGATTTTCATAGTTAAAGCTTGGGCACAAGTCACTGGTCTCAAACTATTCTCATCTATGAGTCTAAATTTATGATTGAAGAGATAGAAAACTTCAGAAATAGCATACTTAATTTTTAACACTGCAAAAAGCTATTTGTTTCTACTTCTGTAAGTAGAAGTAATAGAATGAAACTTCCATTATAAACAAAATACAGATACTTTGGTTATAACTTGACAGCAGGTACATATTACACCTTTGTAGCTGAATATGATAATCTACTCACCCAGAAGTCTCAAGGATGACCTGATGGCACTGTGCTAATGACTGGGGTTGTAGGACTGTGGTGGTCAAGTCACATCTGATGTATCCATGCAGTACCCCTCACTTTTCTGGAGCTTTAAACACTTCTTTGGATTATCTTTAACTATAGAACTAAAACTTACAAAACTTCATAGACAAATCTGTGCATATTTTCAGTGCAAGGTCATTGAAACTTTCAATCCAATGGTGCCCTTGCCTCCTTGCTGTCACAGGTTACTTGTTCTGTATCAGCTTATAAGGACTTGACTCTTTCTTAGGGTTGCAAAGTCTGAGTCTCCTAAAAAATAGAACCTACACTTTGAATGAGACTTGGAGTGATGGCATGATTGCGGCCCATGAGCCCTACCTACTGACTCTGAACAGAACCGCTCTCGTGCTATGGAACAGGAGGAAGCCAGAGCCCTTCCCAGTGTCAAAAGAGGCCTACGTCCAGAAGATGATCATCTTGGCCGAGAACCTGGAGGTTCCAGGCAAGTCTTCCCCGGGGGGTTTTCTTAGAGATCCATGTTACCCTGCTCTCCTCAGTGTTCGGCAGGCCTTCTGCCGAACTTGTCCTTGTACTGAAGCTTGTTCAAGTAAGAATCTAACACATTTCTCAAAGTTGCTAAACAACACCAGTTCCCGAGTAATACCCCAAGGAGGGTACACACCCTAGACCCTTTTGGGAATCATCTTTCACGTTAGCATGTTGAAGCTCTTAGTTTGGCAGTAAAGAGATCCATTTAACTTGCTCTAAACAGGTTTCCCGGGCTTCCCAGGGGGCACAGCAGTAAAGAATCTGCCTGCCAATTCATGAGACCCAGGTTTAATTCCTGAGTTGGAAAGATCCCTTGGAGAAAGAAATGACAATCCACTCTAGTATTGTGGCCTGGAAAATTCCATGAACAGTGGAGCGTGGTGGGCTACAGTCCATGGGGTCTCAAAGAATGGGACACAACAGAGCACCGATGCACGCAAACCAGTTTCCCAAGCTGGCTTCCCAAGCTGGCTTTTTTTTTTTTTTTAATTAAACCGAGGAATCCCTTTTCTCATAGCAGTGACATCTTGCAGGGGATCTTCTGTGAAGCTGCTCTGGGTCCTGGTTACCAGGGGAAGCAGCTCTTCTGTTAAAGCTGTGCCTTGATCATTCAGATTAATCTGCTTAAAGCTGGTTTAACTATTTTCATATAAACCTTGCCAAAAAATCTGATTTCAGGTCTTGAGGCAGAAGAAAAAGTCTTACCACAGGATTTAGGGGGCTTCCTTGGCGGAAGCAGCTGAAAACCCCGAGGAAGAGTAGAAACAGAGATGCCCAGACCTGTTCCTCCTCCCATGTACCTGCCCCCTAGAGGTCTTTCATCTCCCCCCTGCAGTCTTAACTATTGTTTTCTGATTCACTGGTTTGACTTGATTTTTCAAGGTTAAGAAGTATTAGATGTAGGCATGTTTCCAGGTGGTAAAATATGTTAACAAGAGGTTAACTCTTGGTTAAAAAAAAAAAAAAATCCAGTTTTGATTATTCTTCTAGCATATCCATTAGGTTTCTGTGACAGATGCTGAAGAATACTAATTGGTAACTTCTGGAAGTGCCTAACTCAGACATCTCACTATAAAACGGAAGTCCCAAATGAAGTTCTGAATCAAAAATGGGAGGGCTTCAAAATTCCACTTTAGGAAAGAATGCACGTTTTTAAGAACTGGTGTAGAGTCACTCTGAGGGCATTCTGTGATGCTCGCATGTGGGATTTTTGTGGTTACATCCGACTCCAGAGGAAAGCACGTATTTTCTGCAGAGGGCAGAGCGCAGTGAGGTCCAGAGGAACAGAACCCCATGGGGCCAGTGTGTTCTTAGGACGTTGCCAGTCTTCCACCTAGCTATCCAACTTACAAAATGCAGTGAGTGTCTACCTTGCCTAGGGGTTGTCAAGGATCAGGGGAGCTCATACTGACAGACAGGAAACCAGAGCAGGCATGATGGGACCCTCGTGCAAACCAGGTGTGGAGGTTTCTAGGGAATGATCTTTGCATCCTGCAACTGTCTGACTTCATCCCTGGCCCAGAGTTTAAGACAGAATGAGAACACATTTGAATGTCCTTCCTAACGGGAGTGACTTGTCCTCCTTACAGTCTGCTCAGCAAATGTGGACATTCCAACTGGGAACTTGTACTGGCTGCCCTGTGACCGAAGTGCTATTCAGAGGACGAGACTTGCTGGCCCAGACACCCACACCCTGTACAAAACGGGCAGCGTTATAATGCATCTCCTTCTGGACTGGCCAAGGAGGCTGCTTTACTGGGTGGAAAGTGGGGAACCCTTGCAAAGTATGACCCTTGATGGCAAAAGCATACAGACAGTCTGGAGAGGCACTTGGACGGCAGATACCCACGTAACCTTAGATCTCGGCTCTTCCAGCATCCTCTGGACCACCAAAGGGTTAGGTAAGCGCTGTGTAACCAGTGAGGTTGGAAGAGGCTTGAGGGGCTGAATGAGAGTCTTCTTTTTAGTAGTAATGACCCCATTTTTAGAACTAATTAGATATAGCGTCAAACTCTGATTTTCATAGTTAAAGCTTGGGCACAAGTCACTGGTCTCAAACTATTCTCATCTATGAGTCTAAATTTATGATTGAAGAGATAGAAAACTTCAGAAATAGCATACTTAATTTTTAACACTGCAAAAAGCTATTTGTTTCTACTTCTGTAAGTAGAAGTAATAGAATGAAACTTCCATTATAAACAAAATACAGATACTTTGGTTATAACTTGACAGCAGGTACATATTACACCTTTGTAGCTGAATATGATAATCTACTCACCCAGAAGTCTCAAGGATGACCTGACGGCACTGTGCTAATGACTGGGGTTGTAGGACTGTGGTGGTCAAGTCACATCTGATGTATCCATGCAGTACCCCTCACTTTTCTGGAGCTTTAAACACTTCTTTGGATTATCTTTAACTATAGAACTAAAACTTACAAAACTTCATAGACAAATCTGTGCATATTTTCAGTGCAAGGTCATTGAAACTTTCAATCCAATGGTGCCCTTGCCTCCTTGCTGTCACAGGTTACTTGTTCTGTATCAGCTTATAAGGACTTGACTCTTTCTTAGGGTTGCAAAGTCTGAGTCTCCTAAAAAATAGAACCTACACTTTGAATGAGACTTGGAGTGATGGCATGATTGCAGCCCATGAGCCCTACCTACTGACTCTGAACAGAACCGCTCTCGTGCTATGGAACAGGAGGAAGCCAGAGCCCTTCCCAGTGTCAAAAGAGGCCTACGTCCAGAAGATGATCATCTTGGCCGAGAACCTGGAGGTTCCAGGCAAGTCTTCCCCGGGGGGGTTTTCTTAGAGATCCATGTTACCCTGCTCTCCTCAGTGTTCGGCAGGCCTTCTGCCGAACTTGTCCTTGTACTGAAGCTTGTTCAAGTAAGAATCTAACACATTTCTCAAAGTTGCTAAACAACACCAGTTCCCGAGTAATACCCCAAGGAGGGTACACACCCTAGACCCTTTTGGGAATCATCTTTCACGTTAGCATGTTGAAGCTCTTAGTTTGGCAGTAAAGAGATCAATTTAACTTGCTCTAAACAGGTTTCCCGGGCTTCCCAGGGGGCACAGCAGTAAAGAATCTGCCTGCCAATTCATGAGACCCAGGTTTAACTCCTGAGTTGGAAAGATCCCTTGGAGAAAGAAATGACAATCCACTCTAGTATTGTGGCCTGGAAAATTCCATGAACAGTGGAGCGTGGTGGGCTACAGTCCATGGGGTCTCAAAGAATGGGACACAACAGAGCACCGATGCACGCAAACCAGTTTCCCAAGCTGGCTTCCCAAGCTGGCTTTTTTTTTTTTTTTAATTAAACCGAGGAATCCCTTTTCTCATAGCAGTGACATCTTGCAGGGGATCTTCTGTGAAGCTGCTCTGGGTCCTGGTTACCAGGGGAAGCAGCTCTTCTGTTAAAGCTGTGCCTTGATCATTCAGATTAATCTGCTTAAAGCTGGTTTAACTATTTTCATATAAACCTTGCCAAAAAATCTGATTTCAGATCTTGAGGCAGAAGAAAAAGTCTTACCACAGGATTTAGGGGGCTTCCTTGGCGGAAGCAGCTGAAAACCCCGAGGAAGAGTAGAAACAGAGATGCCCAGACCTGTTCCTCCTCCCATGTACCTGCCCCCTAGAGGTCTTTCATCTCCCCCCTGCAGTCTTAACTATTGTTTTCTGATTCACTGGTTTGACTTGATTTTTCAAGGTTAAGAAGTATTAGATGTAGGCATGTTTCCAGGTGGTAAAATATGTTAACAAGAGGTTAACTCTTGGTTAAAAAAAAAAAAATCCAGTTTTGATTATTCTTCTAGCATATCCATTAGGTTTCTGTGACAGATGCTGAAGAATACTAATTGGTAACTTCTGGAAGTGCCTAACTCAGACATCTCACTATAAAACGGAAGTCCCATCTTCAGAAACTTACTTTATTCTGCATGCCTAGAATATAGCATCGGGTAGTGGAAAAAATTAAATTTATAGGCCTAAAAGGAAAAAAAAAATTCCCCCAATTCAAAACCATGAGATAATGGGCCAACACACCACACACGTGGTCTAAAGATCCAGGGTCTTTACTTTTTCTTTCTACAAGGTAGACAAACATAGCTATCTGGCTATGACTCGGGTTTTTGGGGGGCTGGGAGGTAGAAGCCTGTCTCCACTGCTGACACCTGATGGACTGACCTGCTGACACTGCTGATTCTAGATCCTGAGGTCGAAGGAGAGGCAGCCCCCAGCCCTCCTCCCCCACCCCCGCCAGCCCCTGTCCTCTGCACCCGATCCTCTGTGCCCTGTCGGGATGGGCTGGAGTGCGTCTCCCGGGGGTACCTCTGTGATGGCAAGCAGGACTGCGGGGACGGCTCAGATGAAGAGAACTGCTCCCGCTTCTGCAACAGACCAGGTGTGTCACCACCTCCTGGTCTCTTGTCCCAGGTGTGCTAATTCTGCCTCGGGTGCATGCGATGAATTGCTGGAGTGTTCATTATAATCACACTTGCTTTCCCTATAAATTTTCATAGATTACATAGCCTGTCAGGACACAGACTGTCTGATTGCTCATTTTATCACATTTAAGTCCACAGTGTTTTACCAGGTATAATTTGACTATGTTTCCTTGCTGCCTCAAATTTGCCTAAGTACTCCAATAGCTGCCTTTATATTGGCACAGAGTGACCTAAATGGACCACTTATAACTGACTTGGTCATATTTTAACAAGTTGTTAAAGTAACCAAACCAATATGAAGCCTTAGTATTTCAAGGACCTAGTTCAGCTTAATTAACCTTAGCACTTTATTAAAGCTCACTTATGGATCAGTTAAGATATAGAACTCAGGGGACTTCTCTGATGGTCCAGTGGTTAAGCCTCCGCCTTCCAATGCAGAGGATTCGGGTTCAATCTCTGGTCAGGGAACTAGATCCCACATGCCACAACTAAGAGTTAGCATGCTGCAGTTAAAAATTCTGCATGTCTCAACAAAGATTAAAGATCCAATGTGCTACAACTAAAACCCGGCACAGTCAAATAAATAAAAAATTTAAAAATATGTATATATAGAACTTAAATGGGCTTTCTAGGTGGCACTAATAGTAAAGAATCCCCCTGCCAATGCAGGAGACATAAGAGATGCAGGTTCAATCAATCCCTGGGTTGAGAAGATCCCTTGGAGGAGTGTATGGCAACTCACTCCAGTATTCTTGCCTGGAGAATCTCATGGATTGAGAAGACAGGCGGGCTGCAGTCCATAGGGTCACTAAGAGGCAGATATGACTGAAGCAACTTAGCATGCACACACAACTCAAATAAGATCAATCTACCTACCCCTCGAACTCCAGAATGAGGGTGAGTTTAATCCAGTAATAAAATTTTAGTTTGATGAACATATATGGGCCTTGCTTTTGACTTGTTCCATGGAAGGGGTCTTCCAGTGTCTGGATGGAAACAAGTGCATCGAGGAGAAATATCACTGTGATGGAGCCCAGCAGTGCTTGGATGGCTCCGATGAGCTGGGCTGCTGGAAGCCCGTTGAAGACTGCTCTCTGCGCTGTGACAATAAGACCCGCTGTATCCCCAAGAGCTGGCTGTGTGATGGCCACCCTGACTGTTCTGATGGAAAAGACGAACAAGGATGTAGTAAGTTCCATGGAAGTTATTGGAGTTTTTCCAACTACATTGTAGTCAGTTCTCCTTATTTGTGGGAGTTATGTTCCATAAAGCTGCCATGAACACTGAATTAGAGGATATTGGATCATTGCTCCTGGAAATTTTCCGGGTTGGGTTTTTTTGGGTTTTTTGTTCCCTTTTTTTTCACTTGTTCATTTTGGACCTTTTTTAATTTTTTTTTTTTTTTTTAAAGATGACTTAACATGTATTGTTGACTCAGTAATACCCAGCAGTAGTGAAACTCATGCTGAACAGAGCTTATTGAATGCATGTATATTTTCCCATAAGATACATTGTAGACTTCTTACCCTTAGGAGCACCAAACAGCACTTCAGCACTACATTTGGGGTTATTTTAAATAGAAAAATCACTAGAAAGTTAAAAAAAAACATGGTCCTAAATGACTGCAAGACATCCTGGATGGCTTAGTAGTAAAGAATCAGCCTGCCAATGCAGGAGATNAATATTTCGTGGTAGTCTGAACATTCTTTGGCATTGCTTTTCTTTGAGATTGGAATGAAAACTGACCTTTTCCAGTCTTGTGGCCACTGCTGAGTTTTCCAACTTTGCTGGCATATTGAATGCAAAAGTTACATGAAAGTATATTAGCTATACTTATCAACCATTTTTATGACTATATCATTTTAATTGTATATTCAGTATTCCTATTAAAAACCTATTGGTTTATGTACCTGTCCTAGATCTACATCTGTGCCTACCTATGTGTATTTTCTTCTAACATCTGAAGCCTGTACTCTTGCTTGTGTTATGGTAGATTTATTTCTCATTCATTCACTCATCCACTCATTCAGTAAATATTCTGTAAGCATCAGCTGTATGCCAGCTTCTGTGCTGAGTACTGAGGATACAGCGGGGACTCAGAGAACCAAGGTCTTGCCCTTACTGAGCTCATTTTTTTCAGTTGGGAGACAGACAAACAGATATGCAACATTATTATCAACTGAGAAATAAACCGAATGGTGTGTAAGTCGAGGAAGGAGTTGGTTTAGGTAGAGCTGTCTCTGAGGAACTGACATTTGAGGTAATAACTGAAGAGTGAGAAGCAGGCACCCATAAGGAAAGCAAAGCTGGTGGACAAGTGTTCCATCACAGGGATGAACAAGTGCAAAGACCTGAGGGGCAGCTGCAAATGTTGAAACTCACTGGGCTTAGATGTAAAAGATGGGCTGGAGGGTTGAACAGGGTTTCCCTGGCTCCTGGGAGGGGTTTTGGTTTTACTATAAGGGCAGTGGAAAATTACAGAATTTTAAGGTGTGATGTCATTTGATCTATGTGTTATTAAAGTCACTGTAACTGCTTTTTAGAGAATGAACTGAAGAAGGTTAAAAACCTATTGCAAAAAAAGAAAAAAAAAAACCTATTGCAGTGGTCCACTTGAGAGATGATGATAGCTTGGACTTCTTGCCTTATCAGCCAGGGGATGAACCCGTCTGCCATGGAAACTGGGTATTAACAGAGCTTCCCAAGGTTTTTCCGTAGTATGCCAGACCTACAGACTGGTGCATATTAGAAAGGTCCCTGCCTCCCTCCCTTCAGGGAATTCAGTGTCTCTTCATTTTTCAAGATATAAGAGTACTTCCCAGGTGGTGCAGTGGTAAAGATTCCACCTGCCAATGCAGGAGATGCAGTTTGGAAGATCCCCTGGAGAAGGAAATGGCAACCCACTCCAGTATTCTTGCCTGGAGAATTCCATGGACAGAGGAGCCTGGCGGGCTACAGTCCATGGGGTCACATAGAGTCGGACACTAGACTGAGCGACTAGCACTTTCACTTTTATATATACTATATATATATAGTATATATCAAAGTATATATATATATACACACACACACACACACACACACAAGCTTTTCTACTATGCTTGATATAGGCTTGAGAAAGAATGTTTAAAAAAAGGAGAAGAGAAATTGAAAAACATAATGAAAAAACATAATGAAATGGGGCCATTGAATATGAAATAGAAAAAGTGAAACAAACTAGGTACACGATCATCATATTGTATCTAGTTGTTTTTGAACAAGCGGTAGGTTCTTAAATGAATTAAGACTTCCTGGCTAGTCGGTTTACAGAATAAGGCATCTCCTTCCCACTTTCCCATCCACATTGGTATCACCCATAATTCCTCCTCTGAACTCCAGCTGAGGAAGGCATTGCTTATCACCCACATCTCTGGCCTCACTGCAGAGGGGACTTGAGGTTCTCTCATAACCCACGCCCCTTCCTGGGCCCTGAACCTGGGTGTTGTTAACGGAGTGGCTCACTGTCTCCTCAGGACTGTGACCCCAAGGAGCTGCGCTGTGGCTCCAGGCAGTGGCCGTGTGCCAGCGGGGAGCAATGCGTGCCCGAGCCCTGGCGCTGTGATGGGCAGCGTGACTGTGGGGACGGCAGCGACGAGACGGGATGTAAGCGCAGGGCGCAGAGGCAGGCGGCCTCCGAGGGGCGCGGCTGCGGGGGAACCCGGCTCAGTGGGCAAATGCCACGGCCCGAAATCCATCCCTCTGCCGGGATGGAGGCGTCTGGATTGCAGGCGAGGGAGCCTTGCGGTGGGAGGGGTGGGTGGAGGAGGGTTTGACTGTAAAGGCAGAAGGTCGTTCTCCAGGCCCCCCGGAGGAGTGTGGGAGCTCCGAGTTCCAGTGTCAGCCCTCCGCCTGCCTGGACCTCAGCCTGGTGTGTGACGGGAAGCCAGACTGTGCCGACGGCGCTGACGAGGGCGGGCAGTGCTCGTCGTCCGCCTGCCGCCAGGGACAGTGTTTCCACGCCTGCTACCCTTCCCCACACGGACCTGTGAGTGCTTTCTGCTTCTGTGCTCCGGCGGCTGGAGACGCGGTGTGGGCCGAGGCGGTCATCCTCAGCCGGGCTGTCTGCTCCCCACGCCGGGTCGTCCACGGCGGAGCTGCCCGGAGCCCTCCTCCCAAGTCCCCGTGCTGGAGGCTTTCTGCCGAGTCCTGTCTAGTCCCTTTCCCCTCTCCCGTCTTCTGGAACTCTGCCCCCCAGCTCCAGAAAGCCCCCTACTGTGACATTCACGGTGAGGCAGTAGGTTTGGGGGGATTTGTCCCAAGAGTCAGGTAACTCCCCGCCATGCCGCAGCTCAGGAAACGAAGTACCTGCCTGTGAGGAAGTCCTTTCTGTGTGAGTAGTTAAAATATGACTTGCCCTTCAGTCAAGAACTGTACGTGTTCTGGTCTGGCATTATTGGTTGGCTGAACATGGTGAACTTGATTCTGACAGGCAAGGGGAAGAAAACCATGCGGATGTCTGGTCCTGTTGGCAGACAACCAGTTCAGTGAAGACTAGGGGTCTCCTCACTTACAGATTCTGATGGGGTCCTAGGTGGCCTGGGCTGAACTGGACACCTTTGTTAACTTAGGACCCCTGGGGGTGGCAAGGGTGTGGGGTGAGTGGCAGGAGATGGAGAGAGTGACTGCATTCAGAATGAAGTTGGTTCAAAGCACAGTTTGAGTGGCTGACATGGAGTATATCGCCGTGTGCTTTTTATATCAAGGCTGAGGTCTTTTTTATCAACTGTGTACCTTGCCTTTAGAAAGTCTTCATGTAAAAAAAAAAAGAAAGTCTTCATGTTTTCCAACCTCTGTTAGGTATGTGCTTGTGAGCGAGGCTTTGAGCTGAAAAGCAGTGGCCAGATCTGCGAGGATGTGGATGAATGCCGGCGGCTGGGTGGTCACCCTTGCAGTCAGACCTGTGTCAACACGAAGGGTTCCTACACCTGCGCCTGTCATCCCGGCTACTCACTGGAGCCTGATGGTCATACCTGTAAAGCAACAGGTAAATGGAGCTGGGACTATCTCAACTGTAGGTTGAGAGCTTGAGGTCCTAGGACATCCAGGAATACCAATGTAAATCTCTTTCTCAGGCCTTAAGTGTTCCTGCCTGCTTTATTTGTCTTCAAAACAAGACAAGCACAGTTCCAAAGCCTCCTGTTTATACTTTGTGTTTTATACCTTGAATTTGAGTCTGAAAATATCTACAAATAAGGCATTATTATAACAAACCCATAAATTAAACCTCTGTAACCATGGGTCAGCCTTGCCTGCAGTTAGAATAAATATCTAAAGACCAGACAAGTCCTTCTTTCCTATCCACCTAACACCAAATATTTAGTTATAAATGTGGTTTTCAGTTTAGGCTAATTATGCCTTTATTCTAAGTGTCTTCAAACCATGTTTTAGCTTAACCATTACATCAAGGGAAGAACTACTTAGATGCCAGTGAGCTGGCACCACAGCCCTGTCAATGAGAAAGCAAAAACTACTTTGTCCTCTGATTCCTTAGCCAGTGTTGGGCTCACCATTCAAACTCTTTTTTTTTTTTTTTAAGTTGGAGGCTAATTACTTTACAATATTGTAGTGGTTTTTGCCATACATTGACATGAATCAGCCATGGATATACATGTATTCCCCATCCCGATCCCCCCTCCCACCTCCCTCTCCACCCGATCCCTCTGGGTCTTCCCAGTGCACCAGGTCCGAGCACTTGTCTCATGCATCCAACCTGGGCTGGTGATCTGTTTCACTATAGATAATATACATGTTTCGATGCTGTTCTCTTGAAACATCCCACCCTCGCCTTCTCCCACAGAGTCCAAAAGTCTGTTTTATACATCTGTGTCTCTTTTTCTGTTTTGCATATAGGGTTATCGTTATCATCTTTCTAAATTCCATGTGTATGTGTTAGTATACTGTAATGGTCTTTATCTTTCTGGCTTACTTCACTCTGTGTAATGGGCTCCAGTTTCATCCATCTCATTAGAACTGATTCAAATGAATTCTTTTTAATGGCTGAGTAATATTCCATGGTGTATATGTACCACAGCTTCCTTATCCATTCGTCTGCTGATGGGCATCTAGGTTGCTTCCATGTCCTGGCTATGATACCATTCAAACTCCTTAAGGCCATGTTGAAAGCAGTTCTTTTTTGACAGGTACTGAACCAGTCCTGCTTGTGGCAATCCAGTTTAAGCTGCTCCTCTATGGGATGCGGAGCTTCAAAGAAGATATCCTGGCAACTACAGACAAGAACCTGATTATTTTCTCTATTGACTATGACTTAGTGGATCAGAAAGTCTTCTGGACTGATCTCGGGGCCCAAAGTATTCAGTGGATAAGCATGGACATGAAGAAGAAAGGGACTATGGTGAAAGGTTTGTCCCCTTATAAGAGGCTCTCATCTTGCCCTTACCAATTACACATAGCATGAAAGATAGGATGAGTGGCCATGAACTTTCTAAACATTGGTTTATATCTCCTTAACTACAAGTGGTCAAGTCTTGCTATTATCAATAGTTAGCTAGAAATGAGAAGTTGCCATCTCTGTTGATACAGAGTCAGTCAAACTATCAGCCAGTGACCATTACTAATAATGGTCATCTTGTTCTGCAAATAGTATTTTGGAGCATTTAAAAGACTGCTCTGATAGAGATGCATATATCAGTTGAAAAATGAACTAACATGGCATGCAAGTCTGAGGCCTGTGAGCTTCAACCTTCTGAAAAGCTGTAATTTAAGTACACATGATGAATAGTTTCCTCTCCTCAGGGATAAAGGCAGACTGCATAGCGGTTGACTGGATCGGGAGGAATCTCTATTGGACAGATGGGACAGCTGGTCAGATTTTGGCAATTCAGTTGACTGCAATTTGGAAAGGAAAATCTGAGTACACGGTTGTCCTGGACAATGACTTGAACCAACCACGGTCTTTGGCTTTAGATCCCCTAAATGGGTGAGTCCGGGTGTCGCAATGCCTGGTCAAGTCTGTCAGGTCTGTTCCTCTTTAGTTTTACTTCGGTTGTGTTCCGTCAACACAGAATGAGTGAATGGAAATCTTATATGACTTGACTTTGGATCTTATGATGTGAGCCAGCCATACACATAGTAGTTGTGAAAGCTCCTGCAAAAAGACCTTTATTTTAGAAAAGTGAGATAGAGGCTTGCTTACTTGGTGGCCCACCTATACTTTCATTGGCTAAAACAAACAGATGTACCTCTGAGTGGAGAATTTGTATGGCTTTAAAATGGCAGGAGGGAGAGAATGGAACTAGAGCTGGTGTTTAATTTATAGTAATGTGATTTGGGGGTGGTGATGGGGGCAGAGGAGTTGAGTGTGGGGGTTGAGCTCTTCTGTCCAGAGCCCCTTCTCTCTGCAAAGGGCCAGGAGCTTAGAGGCAGCATTTCCTACTTGTCCAGGCAAAGCCCTAATTGGGATGGCCATGTGTGTATCAAACGTAAGAATAAGATACAGCAAAATTCAGGATCCAGAGGTGACCTATGTCAGATACTGTCCCTCTTTTTTTCTCATCTTTTCAAAACCTCCAACCAGGAATCTGGTAACATGGTCCTCAGGAGACTGGCAGGAGTTTCCCGACAGATCTAATGGGTTATGACCAAGAATGTGATCTGAAGCACCCATTGCCCATGGAACTAGTGGACTTTCTAGCCCAGAAAATACTGACAGTTTCCCTGGATGTTTTCCAGGCTAGGGTCTAATGTATTTTTTAGACTTCTTATACAGTGGTCGTAATAGATATTATATCCCTAAATAATGAACAATCACATAAAATTTCAAAGAAAACCTTCTTTTACTACTTCATAAATTATATTTAAGGCATAGACCAAGTTTGAGGGAAAAAAATAATTGGGCTGTAAAGCAGAGTTTTGAGGAATGAACTGGTATTATTTTCTGTGAGGTAATACTTTATCTTAAAGCTGACTTTAATCCACATAGGCTAATGTACTGGTCTGAAATTGGAGGAGAGCCTCAAATAGAACAAGCTGGAATGGATGGGAGCAGCAGAAAACTACTCCTCAGTCAAGGTCTTGGCTGGCCAACTAGCATAGTTCTCGACCAATTGAGTTGGAAGATATTCTGGTCTGATGACAAATTTCACTGCATTGGCTCTGCCAACCTAGATGGTACTGGTATTAGCGTAAGTGTTCTTTTGGTAATAGGCTTGTGTGAAATGTCGTGTGCCTTGTGTAAAACTCATCCCAGGAACCTCACCATCACTGTTTCAGATGTTGCAGCTAACACAAATCAAGAGCCCCTTCTCAGTGGCTGTGTTCGAGGATGAAGTCTTCTGGTCTGAAATGAAGACGAGAACAGTACAACGCATGAAAAAGATGACTGGCAAGAACCGCGCTGTCCTCATCAAGCGTTTGGAACAGCCTTACGGACTAAAGGTCTATAGTTGATGCTTCAGAATATCCTCTGATCCTCCCTGGGAAGGCTACGTGTATGAGTTGCCCAAGGACAAACTGCAGGGACTTCCATCTATAATGATTGAAAGGCAGGGTTGAGTTACTTGCTGTTTTTAAGGATGCAACAACATGTAGTGACATCTAGGTGTTTTCTTCCAGGTAATGCACGAAGTGCTACAGCCCAGGTCTTCAAATCCTTGTCTGGATACTGGATGTTCTCATTTGTGCCTTCTGAGCCCACAATCTAAGGGAAGCTGTCGCTGTCCAGCTGGACTCCTGCTTGCAGATGATGGTGTCAATTGTGTTCCCCTCAAGGAATCTGCATTTCTGTTCCTTGGGTTGCCCACAGTTATCATGCAGGTATTATGCTGTTCTGTCACATGCTTGGGCCACAGTCTATTTCAGACTTTGGGTAATGTGAATTCCTTGAATTTCTTCCCTTTGGAATATTCTTTAAATACAATTTAAATTTGAATATTCACTATGATGACCAAAAAAAAAAAAGTAGCTATGAAATGAAGACCACTCCTACTCAGACTCCTTAAGAAATGCTTAGCACCTCAGAACACAGTGAGGCTAAGGATCTGACATAGTGTTTAACTCAGTTGAATTGTCCAGGCACCTAGCTGAAGATGGAGAGTAATTCCAAATACAAGCAACTTGTCTGGGTTCTAGCCTGAGAGGTAAGTACATTTTGTGAGGACACTTTTCTTAAATCATAGGAGGAGAAAAGGTACTAACAAGCAAGTCACCCCTAATTTCTCATATCCAGAGGACTTGAAGACTCTGGCATTTTAAAATGACAAAGCAAATTTTGGGGTTGGAAGACCGACTTCAGTTTCAGTAAGATATTCAGACTGAAGTCTCATTTAAAGAGGAGGGCCTTTCATATATATAAGTGTATCAAATTCACACATTGTACAACTTAAACTTATAGAGTATTGTATGTCAGTTTTATCTCAGTAAAAATAAATTTAAAAACTTAAGGGGGGAGGCCTTTCACAGAGGAGTAAATATTTCAACCATATGAATTCAAGGAATTTTAAGGGCCTGAAACTCCAGGAAGGGAGAGAAATGCAATTTGCTTTTAGGCAATAGACTGTGTGAAAATCTGAATGTATGTATCGGAACATGAATTCAAAATCAAGATGAAGAATTTGACAAGTCTCAACTGGTGTCATTCCATTCATTTTTCCCCACAGATCTATCTGAAAAATCTAGATGCTTCACGAGGACAAGCAACTTTACCAGGACATAGGATTCTTCCCTTTACCAATGTCAACCAGCTTGCATCAATGGACTATGTTGTCCAGGAGAAGGTTCTCTACCTGGCAGAGTGGAATACGGGTGATATTTGGCTACTGAGGCTCAAAGACTCTGGAAAGCTCTCTTGGAGGAAAATCATATCCGTGGCGGGCACGGTGACTGACCTTGCTGTAGATTGGTTGAGTGGAAACATATACTGGATTGGCAGTGAGAATGCTCACATCAACATAGCTTCCCCCAGAGGCCAGTACTCCACCGTCTTGCTCAGCGGAAGTCTCTACCACCCGACCTCTGTCGTGCTCCACCCGCCGACTGCAGTCATGTGTTTTGTGGACCTGGGTCCCCAGGATGATGGTAGGCATGGCTCCAGCATTGAATGCGCCTCCATGGACGGCAGCAGGAGGAAGGTGCTCTGGCGGAAACCCCAGGTCCCTGTGGGCCTGAGCTTTTCAGATGCAGAGACTCGTCTGTACTGGGCTGATCCTGGTGAGCAGTTATCTTCTCCACCCTAAGTGTGAGGGTGAGGTTCCTTGGCCAGAGAAATAGTGATGGTTTCTGGTCTTCAGCTGTAACTTCAAATGGCTTTTAGGTCTGTCTGAGTTTACATTTTCTGCACCACTTTCTAAACAAATACAATCAGTCCCCATCCTGAGCAGCATATATTAGTCCAGAGAGTCATGCAGTTGCCTCTTGGTGAAGGGGTGAAATCAAGAACCTAACAAATATGCATGAGCAACTCTTTGTGTAGTACTCTTAGAATGAATAAGAACTAGTTTTCAGGAAATGCATGTATCCTTCTGGAGGGGAGGCAGGACAAGTCATAAAGAGCCCCAGGATGGAGTATAGCTGTTTGGGCTCCAAATAGAAATTAACTGAACCTCTCCTTCTAGGGAGAGGACTCATAGAAAGTATTCAACAAGACGGCTCTAGATACAGAGTAGACCGCAGAGGAATTCAGGGCCTTAACCTGTTTACATATGGCCAAGGCATGATGTTCTGGACCACCGTGGATGATGGTAGGTCTTAATTCTACCTCTGATTGTCTTTGTGAGCTGAATTTACGTCTGGATATCTAAAGCAAATGTGCTACTGCTTAGCACTGATCTTTGGCAGTGTGTTTCTTGCAGAGGAATAGCTAAGCAGCCTCCCTAATTTAACATGTATAAATGCCAACAGTGACTGTGTGATTTGGGGGAGCTTTTACTTATTTGGTTTTTCTTTACATGTGAATGTACTTTATCTCATCCTGCCTGAAATTTCTGGCTTTTGTAGGAGGCTATTGGCTTTGGAGGACACCAGGGTATGGCACAGAGAGAACTGGGCCAGGAATTGGGACCAGGTGGCTTTGTCAGTTAGTAGCTATAACACCTTACCTGTATCCCGATCGACTAAGTACACATGAAAGTATTAGGTGACTTTTAGAGCATTCTATACTTGCTGGGTATTTCTAGTATTCAAAGAGATTGTCTAAACCACAGTACTCTATCTAGTATGTTATTTCTGAATAGAGTCTAGATCTGGTAAAACTGGAAAAGGCTGTTTAAAGTAAATCTGTCTCTTTATATTTCCCAGTGCTGGTCCCTTGACCAGTTGGGCTGGCCTCATGAGAACTGCAAAAATAAGTTATCAGATCCTACCGCAAAGATGCTAAACTGTTAGGTATGTGGTGAGACCTTTGCCATTTAAGATCCTCTGGTGACTCTTGTTACAAATAAGCCATTTTTAGAAATGCTGTTCTGGAAGAATGCCTAAAATCATAACCCATCAATTGCTTGAGCTGAATTTTCATGTATCATATCCTACTTTTCTCTCTGTGTATCCAGATGTATATGAACATGCTGGACATAAGCTCACTGGACTTTATTTTCAGCAAAAGCATAAAACTGCTTTTACTGATCTTTAAGCTTCTTCCCAGGAACTAGGTTTAGAAAAATGCATGTCTCTTCTGTAAAACTCCTGTTATTTAGCTGGAGTTTTTGCAGATGAGTGACAATTTTCATACTGAGCAGTGTTATTTGCCCAGGAAATTGTAAGATAAATTTCACTTTTGTTAATGATTGTCCACTGCCTTTTGTTTTAGCCCAGATCACTAAAGTTTGGTACAGCAAAGCAGAACTTTCAGAAAACCGGTGGTTCCAAGTAGACCAGAAGATTGTGGATTTGAAAGTTTATAGTAAACTTAGCCAACAGGGTAAGCAACCTTGCAGTGATTATAACAACACTGAAATCTACTGAATTTCCCTGTGAAGGAGTTGTTCCATCCTATAGTATCTCCTTGGAATACCTCTGTGTTTCCCATTAAAATATTTCTCTGACACATTCCTGTAGATCTATATAACTCTGTTATCTTCATGCAGTTATGTATGATCTGCTTCTGTTTATAGCTAGTCCTGTTGCATAGCTAGGAGACACATGGTGGTAAGGATATTGGGCTTGGGTTTGGTATGAAGTGAAGTGAAGTTGCTCAGTCGTGTCTGACTCTTTGCGACCCCACCGACTGACTACAGCCTACCAGGCTCCTCCATCCATGGGATTTTCCAGGCAAGAATACTGGAGTGGGTTGCCATTTCCTTCTCCAGGAGACCTTCCTGACCCAGGGATTGAACCCGGGTCCCCCACATTGTTGGCAGACGCTTTACCCTCTGAGCCACCAGGGAAGTCTGGTATACTTGGGTCCTATTTTAGGTTCTCTTATTGAAGACTGAATTACAGCTGTGATATAACCCAAATCCCCTTTTAGTTCTAGAGTGAAACTGGTCTTCATTCTACTCATTGTCACTTACATCTACTTTTGATATTAACTTATCTTTCAAATATCAACTTGAGGGTGCTTGCATGTGTTTCTCCACCTTTCTTATAGACATGAATGCCTAATTGAGGGTCCCTGTCATTTCTGAAATACATTTTACCTTCATTATATCCATAATCTATTCCAGAATTCCTGGAATATGTCAAGAGATAAAGTCTCACCAGAAGTCAAAGCTTGAGATAGAAGCCTTGGAGAACTATGGGAAGATATACATGGCTGACTTAATCAGACTCTTGTCCCCCACCGTCCAACCCCCACCTCTTGTGCCCACCAATCTGTTCTCTGTTTCTGTGACTCTTAGAGGGATGAGAGAGACCACAGCCTTTGAGTTCTCATCTAAAGAGAGCTTTATTTCTAAGGGCCTTCTGGTTAAGATCTTGGCTACATGATGTGAAGGGGAAGGAGAACTTACAGGAGATCTTGGATGAGCCAAGTTTACCTCAATTTTTCTTAAACTGCCCCTTTATGTGAACTACTGGCTTGTTTTGTTTTGTGCACATGCATGTTTATTGCAAATTTATTCACAATCACAAAAAACTGAAAACAATCAGGATGTTCCTAAATAAGTGAATGGATAAACATGCTGTGGTATGAATGGACAGACAAGCTGTGGTACAAATGGAATATGAGCCAGCCACAAAAAAGAAACAAGCTCTCAAACCAGAAAACAACATGGATTAATTTTAAGTGCATAATACAAAGTGAAGGAAGCCAGTCTGAAAAGGCTATATACTTATGTGACATTCTGGAATAGTGTAATTATAGACCCTGTAAAAAAAGATCAGTGTTTTCCAGGAAGGAGGGGGAAAAGGGAAGTTGAATAGGTGAAACACATGGGATATTTTTAAGGCTTGCATTCTGTATGATTATGTAATTGTGGATACATTAAATTATGCATTTGTCAAAACCCATGGAACTTCACAGCACAAAGAGTAAACCTTAAGACATGCAAATTTTAAAAAATCATTTAGAAGGTCAGGGGATTCTAGGATGGAACACAAACTATGACAAAACAATCTAATTGTTCTACAAATGTATGAAATGACGTTACTGAAAAGACAGAAAAGGTGCTGAGCAAAGTAACTCTGGAAATGAGTGGAGTCTCTAACACTGAAGCAAAAGAAACTGTACATAAGCCCTGTACTCTCATTGATAAATTTGTTTCCCACTGGGGTACAGACTAACAATTCTGATACCACTATATATGTTTACTGGAATTAAGCAATGAAGTAAATAGATGGCAGGTGATAGGAGACAGTTTTCTCACTATTGAGAATTTACAGATAAGCAAGTGAAGGAAGCTAGAATGATCCATATAGTAATAGATTAGAGTTGGAGACATCAATATAAACTCATGTTTAGCTTAATGACAGTTACAGATGTGAACTCCTGATATTCTAAAGCCATCCTTATCCATGAAGAAGAATCACCAATCACTTGGTTCTCAGTTGTCTAAAAGGAATTAAACTGAAAAGCCATCTACTCTGGGGAAAAAAATCTGGGTCCTCTAACTGATGGTCTGTTTGCAGAAAGTTTACAGAAGATCCTTCTGAAATAGTCTAAATCAATATTTTTGGGGGTATGGGGGTCCACAGGTAGTAACCATTGCTCAAAAGACAACGGAGGATGTAGCCATATCTGTTTACCAAAGCCGGAAGGACAGACTTGTAAATGTCCCAGTGGGTACTACTTGGATGACATAAAGAAGTGCCTTGAAGCTATCCGATGCTCTGCACCATCACAGTCCTGTAAGGATGGTCAGAAATGCATTTCCGCCACACAGGTTTGTGATGGTCATGCTGACTGTCTGGATGGATCTGATGAAATGGACTGTGAGTAACTCCTACCCAAGACCCACCATTGGTCACCTTGGTGATTTACCTTTAATAATATTTAATTCTACAGTGTTCCTCAAGATTTTATCTTTTAAACTGTTTCTTCCTTCTCACTGTGTACTCCTTAAACTGAACAATATGAAACTAACTATGGGCAATTGTATATAGATTATGGGGACTCTTTGTAAAAAGCTAATGTCCTCTCGATTCGATTTTAGAGTAGGCCATATGATAGTTCACTCCATGGGGCTTGGCAGTGTATGTTGCCTGAAAGAGCACTCATCTAACCCAGATCCGATTCAGCCCATGGAAACTGATCACAATAGCATCACCTGGAATGTAAGAGGTTGGCAAACTAGTTGACTTGTCCTGGTTCCCTAGAAAGAGGGAACTTGTCCTATGCTCCTAGAAAGAGCATATTCTAGCTCAGAGTTATTAAGGAATTAAAGAGGATGTATAGAAAGCTGTCACATTATTATAACACTGTCAAGTTAATTCTTAAATGCTAGCTGTAGGAGGTTGTTATATAAATATTGTTCCAAATCATGCCTTCATGGGAAGGTGTTTTCGTGGCCAGACAGATGAGTAATCATAATACCTAATTCTGCTGGAATCATCAGCTATAGCTCCATTGGTATCTAAGTCCCCTTCATGGTAGAATCAAAGAGACAGTGGGCTTAGTCATAACCAGCAAAGGAAGAGATCTGAAAAGAAGCCTTACAGTGAAGAGTTCTCACTGACTTCTCAATGTAAATTCTTATTTCTGTAAAACCTGACTGGCTGGAAGACTACTTATTATCTCTAAGCACTTCATCTTAAATGGGAAAGATAAGGGATTTTGATTCCCATAGTTGATTCTATCTTTCAGCAATTAAGGGTGCTTTTGTTGCTAGTCCTGTGTTGGAAATGACTCAAGGATGGGGGTAAATGAGTGAGAAATTTATCACCTTTACCACCTTGAGGTTAGGTTAGGTTTCTGGTTTAAAACCTAACCTAACCTTCTTTTGCCCTCCCATTCCTGATGTGCTGGGCCCAAGAGCTGACTTTGCTTCTTAATGATTTCACCCTGACTACATATAAAACTTTTTTGAGGGAAATGGTACTGGGTATATAAAATTAAGCTGAATTCCCTTGGATGTAACCTACCATCAAGGACCCCAAATGCCCAGGATGGAAATGCTCCTGTGAGGCCAGCTTAGGACAGAAGCAAGAAGCATTTTTATTGCCAATTCTTCTCTTTTTACTCCTGGTATTTTGGTCTTCCATGTGAGGAGTAACACTTGTGTCAACAATGACAGAGAACATGGTGAAATGCCTTAAACATAAACTTAACTCTTGGATTGCTCTTAGGATAGAACCCTGTTGTCTGCTCCCTGCTTTATGAGTGTCTCTCCCATACTGCCACCAAATTTGGTTCAATATCTGCAGCTTGTACGTCTTGCTAAACCTACAGTTTACTTGGACTCAAAAAATGTGAAATATTTACAGATAAACTTAATCCTTATAGTCTAGATATATACTACTTTGATCTAACTACACTCATCCTTATAGAGAAAACACTTTTGGAACTGGTGGCATCTACCTTGGCTAAAATTCTGCATATCATCATTTGAAAATGGATTGGTATGATAGACTACACTGGTCCTGAAACCAAATATTTTAAGTGCCTTTAGATATGTATTTTTTAAATTAGCTTTTGATAGTTTTTGTCAAAAGTATGGTGCTGTGCTTAGTCGCTCAGTCGTGTCCAACTCTTTGCGACCCCGTGGACTGTAGCCTCTCAGGCCCCTCTGTCCATGGGGATTCTCCAGGTAAGAATACTGGAGTGGGTTGTCATGCCCTCCTCCAGGGGATCGTCCCAACCCAGAGATCGAACCCAAGTCTCCCGCATTGCAGGTGGATTCTTTATCATCTGAGCTACCAGGGAAGCCCAAAGTAATGGTAGTGACTGTGATTTCAAAAATTCAAACTTATCCAGTTAAGGTCACTGGAATTCTTGTTCTTCTGAAATAGTTACTAATTGGCAATAACAAACCTGCATATACACTCGTACTCACACCTACTGTTTTTGCAGGTACCTATCCAGATACAACCCATTCAACACCAACACCTAAAACATCAGAGTCTGGAAAGAGACCAACACCAAAAGTTGTCCAACTGCTCCAGGGTGCCAGGTCCACCAAGACTAGGTCTCCAGGTCCAGAAGGAATGAATTACCCTGTCAGAAAGATGCTAACCCCTCCGATTCCTGCTCTAGAGAGCGAGGCTCCAGAAACCAAGGAAGGAGGTCAGCCCAAGGACTCACACAGGGAAAAACTTCTGCTCTGTAGCAGCGATTTCTGCAATGGGAGGGGAATCTGTACGATGCAAGGAGAGCTGAGAAAATGCAACTGTCTGATGGGCTACGGCGGAGACTTCTGTGAAGCAGCAGCCCATGGACCTGCCCCTGGCCACATCGCCCTCAGCCTAACCATAGCCCTACTGGTTGTTCTGGTCATTCTGGGAGCATTTGTATATTTCAGAAGAGAACACAAATTAAAGCGGTGAGCAGCCACTTTTGTCCTCGTGGGAGAATTTTATTCTAAAGGCAGCTTGTTAAATAAAACTAAAACAAGATTAATGAGATCAGAGGTATGAATCCACTGTAGAAATTTGTTCTTTGAGAAAAGTTTTGAGCAATGGAGCAGCCTTATCTGATAGATGACCTGGAAAAATCATAATTGGGACCATCTTTGTGTGAGACCTGTAGCAAACCGTAATGTAAGGGGCAGTGCTTTCACAATAATGTAAAAGCAGTCAAGGGCATAGTCTCAGGGATAAAGTGAGGAGAGTCCTCTCTAATGAGGAAGTGTGTGTGCATGCATGCTCAATCGTTAAGTTGTGTCTGACCCTTTGTGACCCCATGGGCTGTAGCCCACCAGTCTCCTCTGTCCATAGGATTTCCCAGACAAGCATAATGGAGTGGGTTGCCATGTCCTTCTCCAAGGGATCTTCTTACCCATGGATCAAACCTGTATCTCCTGCATTGGCAATCAAGTTCTTTACCACTAGCGCCACCTGGGAAGCCCTCAGTGAGGCAGAGTCAGTGCCAATGACTGTTTGGAGGGAATATTTCTTGGGTGTATTAGTTTGCTAGTGCTGCTGTAACAAACAGCCCCTAGTGGGTGTCTTAGACAACAGAAATTTATTTTCTCACAGTCCTGGAGGCTGGAGGTCTGAAATCAATGTGTCGGTATGGTTGGCTTCTTCTGATGCCGAGGGTTGCTTTTCTCCTTGGATTGTAGATACAGACTTCTCCTGTGTCTTCATGTAGTCTTTCGTCTGTACATGTTGATGCCCTAATCTCCTCTTCTTATAAGGACACTAGTCCTGTTGGATTAGGACCCCACCTTAATGACTTCCTTTTAACATAAATTACCACTTTGAGGACCCTATCCCTAAAATGGTCACATTTGGAGGTATTAGGGGTTAGATGTCAACATATGAATTTTAGGGGGACAAAACATATACCTTGACAAGAAGTGTGATAAGCTCATAAGAGAGATTTAAGGCAAAAGCACAAAGTTTTATCTAAGAGCAAGAGTCACTGGATTAAAGAGACAAAAGAAACAAAAAAGAATGACCCAAATGGTTAAGAATGATGACAAAATAAGCTTTAGGAAGATACAGTAACTGAAGGGAACTGATTGAACATATTGGGAGTGGATATTAGGCAGCCTATATATCAAGAAACATTGGGGCTTCCCTGGTGGCTCAGATGGTAAAGAATCGGCCAGCAATGCAGGCAACCCGGGTTTGATTCTGGGTCGGGAAGATCCCCTGGAGAAGGGAATGGCAACCCACTCCAGTAATCTTGCCTGGGAATCCCAGGGACAGAAGAGGAGCCTGATGGGCCGCAGTGTACGGAGTTGCACAGAGTCGGACTTCACTGAGTGACTAACACACAGTACCTGCCACAGCACAGAATACATATCAAGAAACATTATGGAGATAACTAAAATCCTTTAACATCTCCTCTGTACAGCCTTCACTTGACAGACTGGAGAAAAGCCCAGGAGAAATGGTATATCTTTGCCTAAAGTAACACTGGTTAATGTTAAGATGAACTGAGGTGCTTCCCTTGTGCTTCTGACTGTCAGTCGGGTCTGTCTTCTGCATTAACCTGCTTTCTTAACTCGTCTATGTCCAGTTGCTACTTACCTGTTTTTAGATTCAGTTCTCACTGACTAATTTCCTAGTTTCCTCTCAACTGAGAAGATACAACATTTTGGAAGTTCAGTGAATGCCTAGTAACAAATCATAACTGACTCAAGTGTTGGCCATTCTAGGTCAGTTCCTTGTTAGAGAGACAATAAAAACACAACCTTGTTCCCATAACAATAACTTTTCATAGGGGACAAGTTAACGTCTTCGAACCATGCCCCATTCCCAGCTTCTACCTTAAGGAACAACTCTTTTGACTTTTTCTGATTTCTAGAAACAGTGCAGCATCATCAAGAAATTTGACCTGCCATAAAGAAAATGACCAAGAAGAGGAGAATCTAATGAATAGTGAGACTTTTGTCAATGAAGCTTATGATGAACAGGTATGTCTGGGAAGTATCTTTGAGGAAAACAGGTGGTGAGATCCAGTCACAGAAGGCCCTTACCAAAAACTCCTGGCAGAGTGAAAGTAGGCCATATTAACTTAAAGAGCTTTTTGTTATTGGAAAATGATGCTATTATGTAGACCAAATGAATGCTCAGTAACTTTTTTGATTGCTGATTCTGTTTAGTCTCAAGTTGTTCACACCAAACTGAAACATACATGTAATCAAGAAATCCAGCTTTTGGTAGACTTCCAAAAGGGGTTCAATACTACTTGGGGTGAAGCAAAGTGTAATTAGGGTTAGTTAACATTACCCCTAAAATTTATGTTTCCCCCCCACAATCCTGCAATCTCTGCTCACTTCTGTGTAGCTCAACCATCTTTGTGTTTTTGCTTTGTTTTAATGTAACACATATTCTCTAATTTCAAGTCTCTTTTCCTACAGGAATTGTTAACGTCTTTACAAACTGACTAACTTGACATAAGGAAGCTGAAACATCTCAATAAAAACTGTTTATATATTTCACTGTGTACTGTTTTAACTTCTGTAACAATTTGTGGTAAATGGTAACTTCCTATTAAAATAACTGCTTTTTTTAAATTTTATTGAAGTATAGTTGATTTACAGTGTTGTGTTAATTTTTGCCTATAAAGCAAAGTGTTTAAGTTATACATTTATATACATTCTTTTTCATATTCTTTACCATTATATTTTATCACTGGGTGTTGAATAGAGTTCCCTGTGCTAAACAGTAGGGCCTTGTCTGTCCATTCTCTATATAACAGTTTGCATCTCCCAACCCCAAACTCCTAATCCACCCCTCTCCCTACCCACCCACTCCCACCTCGGCAACTACAAGTTTGTTCTCTATGTCTGTGAGTCTGTTTATGTTTTGTAGGTAAGTTCATTTGTGTCATATTTTAGTTTCCTCATGTAAGTGATATAATATGGTATTTGTCTTTCTCCTTCTGACTTACTCCACTTAGTATGATAATCTCTAGTCCATCCATGTTGCTGAAAATATGGCATTATTTCATTTATTTCCTATGGCTAAGTACCATTGCATTGTTTGTATGTGCCACATCTTCTTTACCCATTCACCTGTTTAAGGACATTTAGATTGCTTCCGTGTCTTGGCTATTGTGAGTACTGCAGGTATAAGAATAGGGGTGCATTCATCTTCTTGAATTATAGTTTTGTCTGGATATATGCCCAGAAGTGAGATTGTTATCAATAGTAGGGTCTGTCCAGCTGTTTGCTGCCCAAAAGCCAGTAAAGAGGCAAGGTGGATGGAAAGGAAAAAGTTTGCTTTATTTCTGAGGCTGGCCACTGAGAGTGGAGTCGGTTGCCAAAGGCCAACTACCGCCCATTGGCAATCAGTGGACAGGAGCTTTTATTGGTGAAGGGACAGGGCTACATGCAAACAGCACAGTCAGCTGTGACAGCCCTCTTGAAATTGGTTATGCTGTGGTCTGACCAGCATCATCTTGATTTTGTTTAGGTACAGTTAATCTTCAGTTCCAGAGTCATTTTGTTCCCATTTTTTTGAGGCCAGCTCTTGAAACTGTGGCAGCTTATGTCATGGCTTACAGTCTGGTCATCACATACTTAACTTCTTCCACCTGGTGGGGGTTTTAGTGTCTATAATATTAAATATTAATGCATTTTTCCTTAGTTCAGTTCAGTTGTTCAGTTGTGTCTGACTCTTTGTGACCCCATGGACTGCATCACGCCAGGCTTCCCTGTCCATCACCGACTCCCAGAGTTTACTCAAATTCATGTCCATTGAGTAGGTGATGCCATCCAACCATCTCATCCTCTGTCATCCCCTTCTCCTACCTTCAATACTTCCCAGCATCAAGGTCTTTTTAAATGAGTCAGTTCTTTGTATCAGGTGGCCAAAATATTGGAGTTTCAGCTTTAGCATCAGTCCTTTCAATGAATATTCAGGACTGATTTCCTTTCAGACTGACTGGTTGGATCTCCTTGCTGTCCAAGGGACTCTCAAGAGTCTTCTCCAACACCACAGTTCAAAAGCATCAATTCTTTGGTGCTCAGCTTTCTTTATGGTCCAATTCACACATGCATACATGACTATTGGAAAAACCATAGCTTTGACTAGACAGACTTTTGCGGTTAAAGCAAATATACAATGTATGTTTAGTAGGCTACAAGTAGGCTGTTTCAGTTAACCTAAAGTTCAAATTAAATCATATATGGGCCAGAATGACTTCGCTATACCTCAATATGTGAAAATTTCTTCCATCATTTCTCCCTTTTAATTGAAAATCTCTTCATAGAAAGCTCTGATAATATATTTTTCCAGCATTGCCAGAATGCCTTAGTTGCTGCTCTGGGTCCATTCATGTCCCTTGGTGCTAGGCCTACACTTTGCTTATATATTGGCCCAGTTATCCACATTGGATTCTAAAGCTAGACATGTGGAGGTATTGACACAAAGGGTCTTTGGACCGGAAGTCATCTCAACTAGCTCATGTCTGCTAGGGAAACATGTAAATGCTACTTAGATACCAACACCCCTTTGTGCCAATACCTCTGCGTGTCTTCCTGGATCACTGTTTTATCCATACCCACATAAGGAATCAAAGGAATTAAATCTGTGATGGGACACAGGTAACAAAGCAGGAATATGGTCTAAAGTTCAACAGCAGCAACCTTGGGCTAATCACTTAATCATGAAACTGTTACCCCAGAGATAAAAATTAGGAAGCGTTAACAGAATCTACATCAGGCCATTTGGGTACTGAATTAAAACACAAAAATGCCTGCTTAGCCTAGTACCTGAGACTGGTAACAGGAGCCTAAATCATAATAAACACAACTTGACTTGGAAGGTGTCTTGCTTGTATCTTTTCTAGACTATTTATACTTAGTTTCTTGCAGCATGAATTTGTATAGGATGCTAAGCACAAAGAGAAGTCCTAGGCTTATTACTAGGAGTGTAGTGCATAAAACAAACTGTGCTTTGCAGTCAAGTGTAAAAATTCCCAAGTACAGATCAACCTGACCTGACCTGGAGAACACCCGCTGGGGGCTCACCTTGCTCAAGGTGAGGAAACACATGGAGCATAATCAGATTGCCTCTGGGGCTCAGCTGTCCTTGAGAGAACCCATCTTCACCCCACAGTACTAGACCCCTCTTACCCACAGGGTCAGTCTCGCACTGCTCTTGCCATCTTGCCCAAGAGCCCTCCTCACTGCTAAGTCTGCCCTTGGCAAGGTTCTGCCTCTACCTGTGCAAAAGGGACTCAAAAGCATCCAGATATAAAACCTATAACACAAAAGCATCCAGACTGAAAGCCTGCAGAGACGAGGTATGATGGAATTACCCCTTTCTGAATGTGTTGAGGCTGCTCTCTTGGCTCCTTAGACCTCAGGCCTCCAGCAGACTCGCAGGGCTGTGTCCTGGGTGGCTCAGTCTGCTTCTGCGGGCTCTGTTGGAATGGTACTCCCAGCCTCCCTCCTGCTCTAAAGACCTGTTTCGTGTTTGGGCCCCAGGAACACCCCCCGTTTGCTCTTCCTGGGAAAAAGGGAGCTGACTGCAGCTGAACTGTCATATATGCACTCTTTCCATCCTGACCACTCTTATTTATATCTTTCTTGTCTTTGGTCCTTTATGAATGTGTGCCTATTATCCCATCTGAATGTACTATAACACATCCAATTGCACTTTCTCTATTCAAGAATTCACAAAATATCTGAATGTCCTTTTCACCAGAAAAGCTTAATTTTATGAACAATATTTAAAACTTTATACTTAATTTCTAACCATCCCATCCCCTAAATTGATTGTAATATGCCCATTTCACGACCTTATCTGTTTGCAGCAACGGGCATGTTATGAAGCATAAAAGCCTTCTAGTGTGATCATTTCCTCATTAATTTCTCAGTTCCTCTACAGCTGACAAATGGAGCGGTAAACCTGTAGAAGGAAATTCTGCATTTCATTATAGAAACTAAACTTCTATAACCTGGTAAATAGGCTTGAGTTTTCTTCTGGAAGAAAAAAAGAGTCTTGGAAAAGTTCATGTTTTTATGCTTTACGCCCCAAGGGCCCTACACAAAACTTGACCTCTTGTATCTACTGCTAGCAATTAAAGAATTAAATTAAGAATTCATACTGCTGTTCCTTGGTATCCATGAAGAATTGTTTCCAGGATCCTCAAGGAAATGGCACCCCACTCCAGTACTCTTGCCTGAAAAATCCCATGGACGGAGGAACCTGGTGGGCTATGGTCCATGGGGTCGCAAGAGTCGGACACGACTGAGCAACTTTACTTACTCATGGATACCAAAATCCATGGATGCTCAAGGCCATTAGGGCCAGCCCTCTGTATCCACGGGTTCTGCATTGAAAATATTCCATTTGCATTTGGCTGAATTCATGGATGGAGAACCTATAGATACAGAATGTAGACAGTGCTTATTTTCTTTTTTTTTTTTTTAGTGCTTATTTTCTTTAGGAAACAAATTAGTGGACAATGGGCTTCCCTCAAAGTTCTGTTGGTAAAGAGTCCGCCTGCAGTGCCAGAGACCTGGGTTCAATCCCTGGGTTGGGAAGATCCCCTGGAGAAGGAAATGGCAACCCACTCCAGTGTTCTTGCCTGGAGAATCCCAGGACAGAGGAACCTGGCAGGCTACAGTCCATGGGTTGGAAGAGTCAAACATGACTTAGCGACTAAACCACCACCACAATGAACAATGATGAGTGTGCTGTTCTAAGTTCCTACCATTTTAATTGTTGACAGGCTTTGGAAACTCAGAGAAACTGAGAACCAGAATATGGAGTTCGTTGCTTTCAGACCAGATACTAATTTTATGTCAGTCAGCTTCCCCAAGTTTCACTGTTCAAATTTCACATCTCTTCTTCCAGCCTCACATCTCTTTTTCCAACCTTCACTCTCAAAATATTTAGATTTGGGAAGACCTTCTGATAACATCTAATCCAGTCTTCCCGGTTATGCAGCTGATAAAACTGAAATCCAGCGAGGGCAAGACTGAAGCTATCATTAGGGAACATATTATTACCCACACTTTGGAAAAATGGCAGTGACTTGTTCAGTTTCCTCAGCCGAGTGGCGAGTGGCAGCGACTCGGGAGGCGACCACAGTGGTGGGCGAGGAGTACAGGGCCTCTGTCACGTGGATGGCCAGGGTGTGTGGCATCCTGGACAAGAACGCGGTAGAGCTGCACTTAACTCTCTCCCCCCTCAGTCCCACGGGTGAATCAAGCCCTCTGGTCAATACTGTCTCCCCTCACCCCACCCCAAACCCCCACCCAGCCTTGTTCATATTATCTTTTATTTGTACAAATTAAAACCTTGTTCTCCTGTGCTCAGTCCGGCTTTGTGCTCAGTTCTACTTCATAAAGACTTGCTGGAGGAGGTCATTTTATTGTCTTCAGTGAAAAAAGCAGCAGAATGTGGGCAGCATTTTGGGCGGGGAGATGAGGTAAGAATTCTACATAAGTTTTTACTTAAAAATATTGGTCGAAGGAGAT